TGGCCGCCGGTGTCAGAAAACTTCCGCCCAAGCGCTGCCTGTACAACTGGGGCCAAACAGGTCAACATTGTGGCTCGAAGCGGGGGAACTAGAGGCCCAAATTGACACATGTTCTGCCTGGAAGATCAAACACGACACCAGGCAAAGAAACAACAGAAGAGGTTAGTACCTGTTGACATTTTCTGCCTGGAGGATCCATCAAGCACGGCACTGGGCAAGGAAGAGTGCCTGGGCGACTTCCGACAAATCCAGGAGACAATTTCAGCCCACGGTCCCGGCCACTGTCACCGGATGCATCCAGGTGGCCTGCGCCCGAGGCTCTGAAACCACTTAGCTTTTGGGCCCTCCGTCCTCGCTTTGATCAGCCATGCGCTGAGTCCTGGGACTGACAAGTCAGCACAGTCGCAACCACATGAGGCAAAGCTGTCCTTTCAACTCAGTTTTCCTGAAAATAAATAGATGCCTCTCAAGTTGACGGTCGAAACAGGCTTGGAAACACTGCTTTTCGGAGCCAGGTACAGTTTAGCTTCCTTGGAAAAGCTGCGATGCAATTTCGACTTGCCCAGGGACTGCAAACTTACCCATCCAGCACTGCGGAAAGTTTCCCATGACACTTTTGAAGCCAAGTAAGAGCAAACGATAAGCTCGCTGAGCCTGCTTGTGCCTTCTTGCTGAATTGCTTGCGTGTGAGGTCCTCCACGAATCTTTTCTCAAGCATGGTTTCGAAGTCTTCAGTGGATCTCAATATTTTGTGTTTGCAAACATGAAGCATCCTTATTGAGCCTGATTGAAGTTGAGCTATCGCCGCCTTGTTTGGTGCGTGCCCGATTAGACTGTTCAATGCTCGCGTCCAGCAACTCTGATCCTTCCTCTCAGAGCCCAAAGTTTACACATGCTGTTTGGCAACAAACCTTGCTGCCGCCTGAAAACCTGCCATCCTCACAGAAACCTGTTTGAGGTCCGGGCTGAGACAAAGTCATCCCATGTCTTCCCTAAGGCTCTAGGTGTCCATCCAAGGCTCTTCCCCGCAGAGTAAGCCGCGGATTCGGCCGGGGAGGCGCCATTTGTGCCGATCTTCGGCAGGCTGAGCCAAAAACAGAAAATGGCCAAAGTTGCACACGGAATCCTGATGCTTAGACTTCGGGCAGGCAGAATTTGCACACACACACACACACACGGATACACACAAATACACACTGTTACACACTGATACACACACACACAAACACACGATTGACTGGGACTTGCCCGCTCCAGCCTGGGCGCAGCTTGTGCGCACCATGTTGAACCTCTTCCTGCCAAAGCTTAATCGGCTTTGAAACCAATGGCTTAAAACACCTTGCAGTTGGTAGTCGGCGGGTGTCTTTTTGGCCCAAACAACGCGTGGTAACACAATACTCTGACAACTCATCCAAGGGTCAGCAAGAAAACAAAGTGCACCACGAAGCGCAACCGCCAGCTCCTTGAAACCGAAAAGATTCTCAATGGCTGCAACTGTTGACCTTCCAGTTGCCTGTGCCAGGTTTGATTCAATGGATGGCCACTCGACTCACATGCTCGTCAAAGCTGAATCAAACTAAATTTGTGGAACCTCTTGGGCTATTACTTGCTGAAACTCATTCCCCATCGAAAGGTTCCGGCATACTTGGGTCAGGGGCACGTTGGAAGGGTCGAGGGTACTGGCGGGGTGCCATGCGAGATATTCGGCCCGAAAGGATGCCAATCCAACATGGCGGTGATGGCGCTGCAAGCACCTCGCAACATGCATATGCAAAACTGGCTGTCCCTGCTGCCCCCAAAACGAACCCGGCCCACTCCAGCCTCATTCTTGAGGCGTGACGCCCTGGCTAAAAGCAGTCGCAGGACCAAGTCTTGAGTCAAGTGGATGGGAAACAGGAAACTGTTGGGAAATTCTGACACAGGCAATCCGCACATTGAAAATGCAAGTGCGCACTCATCATTTTGAGAACCTTGATGGTTGCTGCAATGGCAGGTGACAAAGTCAGGTCAGAAGGAACCAAGTCATATATACATCCTACTGTTCCACTGCGTATTTACTATTCAGCCCTCCCACCCCCGCTCACTCGGGCGACCCCGCACATGCCCCACCTCAGCGCCACGTCTCCAATGACCTGCTTATAGCGCGCCTTTGGCCCTCGCTGCGCCAAGGTCCTTCCTGCAATCTGGCCAAGGCGTGTGTCGCGAACCCGTTTCCTGCTGGCAAACAATGCTGGTGACAAAGACTATTGGCCACCTGTCTGGGCATAGCGCGGTGATTTGCTGAATCTTTACGATATCTTGACTCGGAGGGCATCCACACTAAAGACCAAGCGGGCACTGGAAGAGTGAGGATTTCTGTCAAATGAGACTTTCCACAGCCTCCTTGGCGAGGGAGTGCGTTTTGTTCAAAGCCCGAGCCCGCGTACTCATTTGCAAAAAGATGGACTTCATCACACAGAACTTCAGAACCTCAATTTCCTGCAGCACCTCAGGGCATGGTAGCTCTACAATGCCCCCACTCTCGTATCTGGCTGGTGCCTGGAAACTTTTTGAGGTGGTTGTCAACCCATGCAACTCTTGCGACTTAAAGTTGCGAACCATCCCCTGAAAGGCATCCACTGTGCACTCGCCCCGGCGCACCGATTCAATCGCCATCACCGACCACTGAGGAAACACAAGGCCCGTGTCCCCACCCGTCCTCGGCCCGCAGCTGGGAGCATTGCGCAGCAAATGGCAAGCACGCAGCCTCGCAAAACCTTCAAGCTATGCAGCTTCAGGAAACTGATCTGATCTGCTCACTGAGTTGAAGGATCAAAGCTTGCAAGGCCGGGTACACTCGGCAAATGCAACCTTGGGAATGGACCAAGTTCCGACCAAGCCTATAGAAAGCAGAACATGAAGGCATCATCCGCACTTGCATAAGTACGGGAGATCTCCCGAGTGACCACGCAATACCAAACCACCAATGCAACCCATGACATGGTTGTTCCTTGTAGAAACATTCCACTGGCGAGTCCGAGCTTGGCTTTATCAGAGGAATCCGCATAATCAACGTGGGGAGCAAGGCCTCTATCTCTACATGTCAGGTTGCAGACTTGAACCATGTGAATGATGCAGCAAAAGGCCACGCTTCTCTAGCGCCCAGTCGAAAAATTGCCCACTGGGTTCTTTGACAATGCTGCGGGCCGGGCGGACAGTGCTAAGGGGTAGGGTGCTTAGGCGCAAATGCCCGCTCGTCCCAGGAACGCAGCAATGACGGGCTTCCCTTTGGCATTCAATACTGCAACTGTGTTGGAGACAAATGGAAGGACTGCCCCACAGGTAAAGGACGCCTGGCTGTGGACATGCCAGCTGGACACATGAGTCCTAAACAGATTCATTGAAGGCTTGCACGCACACATCCGACAACTACCATGAATCTGCCAACAGCCACGGGCCTCGGCATTGCTGGTGACTGCATGCAACTGCCTCCCTTCAAGTTTCAAAAGCGCCACAGTTTGCACCAAGCACATGACTCACAGAGCCTCGCGGCTTTCTGGGAGCCACATACATCGAGCCTAAATGTTCATGGGGCTATGGATTCCCTGAAGCACAAGACCAGCCCTTCGAGAAGCCAGTCACATGCCTGGCGCTTTGCTTGATGTGACCCCTAGTTTTCCCGCATAAGCTCCTTGAATGATCCAGGGTCGAGTTGTCTGATTCAGTCTCCACCGCCCGGCGTACTGATCTCCCCTCTCGGCGACCCTTTTTCGCCTTAAATTTAACTCATACGCATCTACACATCTTGTCTAAGCGCCTCAGGCAGCTTAACTGCCCGAGCAAGCCGCGCTTGGCAGGGTTGGCGGCGGGCTAGGCACGAAGGGTGGGGAAAGCTCGGCCGATCCCCACCGCTCTCACTGATGGTTGTAGCTGGTTTGAGCAAATGCGAGGGGCACCACAAGATTCGAATAAGCAGGATCGACGCGAGACTGGAGCGCATACAGGAAACAAGCCCTTCTTTCCTCCAGCTTGACACGAACAAAACCGATTGTCCTTGATTTTTGGGAGCCCCTGATTTTCAGTGCCCACGCTAATTTGCCGGAGCGTACATTGACAAGGGACGCTGCGGCGCAACAGCAACAGGCTCAAGAGGGTCAGCATTGAATCTAATATGCAGCGAGCCGAACCAAAGTGGAACAATGTGAGTACCTTGGGGGTAGGTCAGGATAGCATTGTCGGCCCGTCTCATGGAACGAAAAACATGAGAAAGCTTTTGCGTGAAAGCCTAGGCCTAACCTTAGCCATCCTTGACATTAAGTTGGCTTCTGCAGGGTACCCTCAAAATAAAGACACGCCCATCCACTCTAAGCCATGCCATGCAAAGTGTCCAGCGCACCTGGATGGCCGGTGCGCACCCCGCCGACAACGACCGCGGCCAGCGCCTTAACAAAGAGCAGCCCGGAAGCGCGAAGCGCACCCGGGCGGCCTTTCCTTTTGAAAGGCGCCAAAAACGGAGCTTGGAGCTGCCAGAAAGGGGCGAGCGCAAAGGGCTCGAGATCAGCTCTGGCCGATTCTGGGTTGCTTTGCAAAGTGCTTTCAGCGAAAGGGCGAGGACATAGCATGAAATGGTTGAACATGAGGCGTCAAGTGCTCAACAGGGAAACTCAGAAAGCGGGAGTACTACTAAGGAACCACAGATTCAGTTCAGCACCTGAGCTTGGGAGTCAAACTTGTCAGGTTGTCATTGGCGGCTGTGGGTGGCAGGCTGTGAAACGAAGAGTAGCTCGAATGTTGCTTCAAAAGATATAGTTCCAGCTGACCGTTCAAATGTTACACGCTTTTGAAGGGACTGTTCTTGTGGGCGTTCGTTTGGGTCAGGAGGTCCACCCACCGCTGCGGGGCCGGCTCCATCTTTCGGATAAAGATCCCGGTAAAACGAAAGGAATCTGTAATTTCTCCACGACTGGCACTCTGGGTAATTCCCTGCACTTCAGGACTCTGATGTCGACAGGGGCTCAGAATCAGCCAGAAAACGGTGGCTCTTGGAAAAGCCACTCCAGAAATGTCTCGGTCTTCAAAGTGCCATTCGAGCCGGTGGCGGAAAAGACGGTCTTCACCAAAGCAGCGCAAGTGCCTAGCGAGCAGTCCGGAGACAGACCTGCTCGCTGCCTTGTTGCTTGTTTTTTCCCGGGCCAAAACAACATGCAGCCAAACAATCTAATCGCATCTTATGATCGGAAATTAGGTTTGAGCAAGCTGGAACAAGCATCCCCGGTTTTGGGGCTCCGGCTTGATCTGCAAGAGAGGGTTGGCGAGGCATGGTGTCGCAAGACTGGGGTAGCCGTATGCAAATGGATCTGGAGCAATGAACGCCAAAGCAAGTGTTACCTAGACTCTATCTTGCCCATCTAGTGCAAAATAACTTGATAGGCAAATGCCAAATCAACTCGCAAAACCAACGGTCATAAGCCCCTTTGAGCGCATTAACGCAGTGTGCGTTTTTGGGCTGGTGCAGGGCCGATGTTCACTGAGTGTGGGCACGCAGCAAGTACTTAACAAACCTTGTTTCAGCCGAAACCTTGCTTCACGAGCTCTGCTGACCCGATGTAGCAAGCAGCGTCCGTTGCACATCGAGCCTCGAAAACCAAGCCTCCACCAATCCACCCCACCCATCCCGCACACAACAGCCCCCATACCCCCCAACTTCAAGCCCTCCCAAAACTTTCGAACCCCGCAAGCGCGCCTGGCGGCTCTCCGAGGGCCTCTAGCAAGTCCCCCAGCGCCTGTCGGCTGAGCCGCGGGGTCTCCTTGAAGAGCGTCCGCAGGGCCACACCTCGCCAATCCGAAGCGCGGAGGTCCAGGAAAACTGCAGCATGCGCCAGACCCGCCTATGCCCTATCTCTCAACAAATCTAGCAATCTATCTAGAAATAGATGAATGAATACAGGAATAAGCAAATAAGCAACAAACAAACAAATAAATGCATACAATGAAAAGTTCACAATTGAACACACATATATATATATATATGTATGTACATCTAATAAATAAACCATGTGATGAATTGAAAGACACAAAAACATAAAAATAAACAACTAATAATAATAATAACAAAACATGAATAAATAAACACATAAATAAATAAACAAATAAATAAACAAGTAAAACACATAACGATAAATTGACTAACCAAATAAGTGAAAACATATTATATTTACATATATATATATATGTTTATGTAATACATGTCTAAGTACAAGAGACTGTAAGTAAATGAAAGCAACAGTACATATAAAAAAGAACACACATAAGTATATATATATATATATACACATTCACACCTCACACAAGCATATATTTGTACACTGTTATCTGTATTTTGCAGGCCTGCACCCACCCTTCCCACCCCTCAGTTCCACATGCGTTAGTTTAAGCGGGCCGAAAAGTGATACACTCTCTACGCTGGTTTGCCGGAACGGGCCCGCGGCATTCAAACCGGCATGGGTGTGGCAGTCGGGGGCCAAGGGTGCGATTGTCAGGGAGGGAGGCAACGAGTTGCAAATCAGTCAAAGATGAATCTCAGTCAAAGCTCATTTAACAAAGCACCTTTGGCAGCTTTAACCGTTCACAATGGAACGCCTTCAACAACTCACGCTCCGACATGCTGCTGGAACGGCTTGGTTGGATGCTGAGATGCTTTGCTTGCTGGAATGCGCCCGGAACCACCTGAAGTCAAACTTACCGTCAAAGTGAAGTAGCCTAAACTGCTTGAGAAGTCTGAGAACCTGAAAAGGCACTCAAATCGAACAAACAGTCCGCAAGGTGTTAGCTGCTCTTTCAGGCCGTCCGCTTGCTACTGCCCCAAGGTGCATGACACAAACAGGCGATCGCAGAAATAGGCAGCGGAAACTCCCGCTTGGCTGCATCTGACCCATGCCCCCAACAAGCAAGCGAGAAGGAAGCGCCTGTCGACAGCGTTGCCAGCTTGGACCGCTCTTCCTGCGGGCAGTCGATGCGCAGACCTCTTGCCCGCACAGCTCAGGAAGGAAAAACTTTGCAAAACCTCCATTATCGGTCCATCATCCGGTCGCCTTTTCGCTCATGCAATGGGAACAACGACAGGGCAATCCGTTTACACCAATGTACCTGCTGAAGGTTGCCTGTAGAATGCAGGTGTCAAGCTCTACATCAAATCGTTTGGGATCGGTTGTCCACATCCAGCTGCATTTGAAGAGAAGCAGAGCGGTAAAATGTTTATGTGGCCTTTTCAAAAGAATATGCTGCATCGGCATGCAAAGTGTGGCGGGTTAGGCAGCAATGTTGCAAGCGAGGACACGAAGGCTCCTAACCTGTTAAGCGAAAGTTGGAGATAGTTTATATCATTCCATGGCAGGTGCAACAAAAACCCTCCCAATGTTCAGTGGTGAGTCCATCACCTGATCCATTCCTGATGAAGTAATATCCCCTGGTCGACAAAGTGGCAGGAGTCCCACGTTAATAAAGAACCATCACTTCTGTTCTTTTTTTTTGAGGGGGGGAACACACACCCTCATGATGCGGGAGGTTTGTCTGGGCTCGACATCCCGGTGAAACTCAGCATTGCTAATGGTTGAACTGGCGCAGAAGAAAAAACAAGACGTTGGCATGGTGCTGCCTTGTCAAGCTGTGGCACCATGAACCGGGGCACCTCTGAAGCAAGCCTGTCACTTGCTTTCCTTACCCAGGCAATCCCTATGAAAGGGAACTGTCATCGTGAGTGAGGTAGACGCCGAATCAACTAACCACCATTTACCCAGCAAAGACCGCCCAAAAAGGGGCACCTCCAAAAGCGATAGCAGAGTCTCCTTTTCAGGAACCCCTTGTTGGGTTCCGTGCCACCCTCTCAACCAGAACCGTTTAGGCGGATCCAGTGGTTTGTTTCACCTCCTTTGGGCCACTTTGGGGGCCACGTGACATTCGCCGCGGCTATGGCGAGCCTGGATCGTCCACAGCTCCAGCGCCGTGGGGCGCTGCTCGGGCGCCAAGGCCAGGCCCAAAGCGAGGCCCGGGACTGCGCGCACTGCCTGGCCCAGCGCTCCAACATGAATCCAGCTGGACCAAACATGTGCGAAACCAGGGCCTCTCCCTCTCTCTCTCTCTCCCTCTCTCTCTCTCTCCCTCTCTCCTCTCCCTCTCTCCCTCTCTCCTTCTCTCCCTCTCTCTCTCTCCCTCTCTCTCTCTCTCTCTCTCTCTCTCCCTCTCTCCTCTCCCTCTCTCCCTCTCTCCTTCTCTCCCTCTCTCTCTCCCTCTCTCTCTCTCTCTCTCTCTCTCTCTCTCTCTCTCTCTCTCTCGCTCTCGCTCTCGCTCTCGCTCTCGCTCTCGCTCTCTCTCTCTCTCTCTCTCCCCGAGGAGTCGTCTGGTCCAACTTTTTGTGGTGTGAGGCCCGGATTCGGAGATTCAACCGCCAACAGACTTTGCCAACACGAAGACCCTGGCGGCAAAAGGGGGCTGGTGTGGCAAGGTTTGATGAGTTGACAATGGTTGCTGGGTCCGGGAGCCAAACCTCTCAGGGCCAGGAAAACTCATCAGGGTGCTCGGGCAAGCAAAGAGGTGGGAATCGGGTAAAGGCTCCAAATGGCAAGGGGGAAGAAGGGCTGACAGCACCGGAGGCCTGGGAAGGACGACAGAGACAGCCCAGTGGTTGATCATGATGTCTCTGTCGCGGATGGCTTTTGAAATATAGGGGCCCAAAGGAAAGGTGGTACGTCCGAACAATTGTTTCTTGTTCTCTGGACCCCTCCCTAACGCAAACCACCATTCAATACAAGCAAAGCTGGAACCACACGTGGAAGTTTCCCTTGTGTGGGGTTGGTGATTGGGCAAACACGGAAGAGAACGACCAAAAATTGTAATTCCTCTTGAGTACGTCATCCTCAAGTCTTCAGTCGCTGCTCCCCAAGCCTTCCCCCACCCGCAGGCCTTCCAACCCGTCCCTGCCCAAGGCTGCTCTGAAAGTCCTTTCACAAGTAGACGCTTTCTCCCTGGAACGGGAAATGAGAGGGCCAACATAGGGTTAAAAACCACTCGGTTGCTTTCTGCTCCCCTGCCAAAAGTTTAACCTTTTGTGGTTTAATGGAAAACCATTAGTTGGCAACAAGTTAAAGTGGACCCTAACATCCCAGCAAAATGTGCCAAAGACCAATTGAATCGTCCACCCTTGGAATTGGCGTGGTGCTTGATTGCCAGTCGCGCGCCTGTCGCGGCAGCTCGGCCTCCTGCCCTGCCGTGGCCCGTAGCTTCGCCCGCTCCACCAGCTCGATGAGGTGGCTCTGGGCCACAGGGTGGCATGGTTTTAGTGAACCACGTAGAAAAACGTGGGGTGGAGCCTGCCACCTGCCTCTTGTCTTCGTACCCGCAAACATTAAATCTGCGGTGAAAAGCCCAAACTGTGAGGGCTCGGCCCCGCTTTGGGGAGGGTTCCGCTTAAGGACACCTGGCAGGTCCTCACGAGGGTGCACTCATGCCTCTAGATTTTAAGCCAAGACAGCCCTACAGCCAGGTACGCGGATAGCCACGGTGGGCTGAATGGTTTCAATGGACACTGGGATACTCGAGAGGTGCACCGGTCCGCGCAGAAGCTAGTCTAACGCCCTGTTGTCCTTTGTCTGCTGGTGGAAAGGTCAAAAAGAAGCATAAGCTGGAATCATCATGACATGAATGAAGGTGTCCAAATGTTTCGGTTCTATCCTGAGTTGGCCTCCGAGCAACGGATGGTTCCAAGGTGTATTTGGTCATCTTCCGGGCTAAGATTCTAAAACACCGACACTTTGCAAATCAAATCGCAGGTGACAGTACTTCTTCCTGCTTGATCGCACCGCCATGAAACCGAAAGGTAGGTGCCTTCTCGACATACCCAACCGTGACAGCACCGCGCGTCACTCCCAGGCTCGCTTGTCGATGTTTGGACGGCCAAACGGCTGAAGGTTTTCAGAATGGCTTGGCAATGGGACTGGAACAAGCGGCCGTAAAAAGTGCCAAGATGGCAACAAGAACGCAGGCTGGAATAGGTGTCCTATTTAAAGGGGCCGGCTCACTGTTGGGGAAACCACTCCCCAATACATCTGCCAAGTTTACTCATCCCGTCAACATGTTTGAAGCCCCGGAGTTGGCCCCCCGTCCGGGCACTTTTTCGTTGCGCGATCTCGTCTGGCCATGGACTGTTCCAGGCCATACCCTGAGAGCTCAAATGCAGGGCGTAGATGTTTGGTCCTTCCAGAGTGAGCCAAGATACGCACGTGTTCGCCCCCATGGGTCTTCTTTTTACAACTTGTTTCCTCAGCTCTCCCTGGTTGGCAAGTGCCAAGTGCCCATCAAGCTTCAAAACAATCGGCCATCGTTTTTTGGTGGTCGATGCAACCAGCCGCTGGGCCCACTTAGAGCTCAGCCAGCGGCGGCTAGAAACAGCTTGTCCGACACTCCCCCAGCCTCCGAATCCGCTTGGGGCCTCTGCCAGCTTGTTCCTTCGCTTCTTCGGGAGGCCCGGGTCTGAGTAGTTCAAAATAAATCCCGAGTCCACACTCAGGAGCTCCTGTGGATGCCGCGTGCTTCAGCAAGAGGCAAGGTTTGACGAGCGTAGCTCTCCAACGCAATGCCGACGCGTTTCGGTCGGAAACACGCTATTCCGCAGGAGCATGAAAGCTGTAGCTGCCATGGGATGCAAGTAGAACCTGGGTTGTCGACTTGGTCACCCACAGGGTTCCTGACTGAAGAAAAACTCTGCCAACACAGCGCATATCCTTGATATACATACATGCGTGTATATACAGAAATAAATATGCCCACCCATGGATGGTGTGCATCATCCTGCTGAAAGGCACGGTACGCTACTTTTGCGCTGGTGTTTGGTGTCTTAAGCCTCAGAATGTCCCAGAATGTCTATACACACATGTGATTCCTGTGGTTCTTCCACACACACGTGATTGCTGAGGTTCTTGACAATTTGAGGGCCGGAATGTCTTGATCCTTTTGCGCTCTACGTGCTGCTGCCTCCCATGGCAAACCGCCGCCGACTCAGTGAGGGCCAGCAGCTCGGACCTCTGCGGAGCATCCTGCCTCGAACTTCTTGAAGTTGTCCTGGCACAGACGCGGGTCCGTGGGTAACAACATCATGGAATTGAAGGAGCCTTGCCAAAACATGCAGATGACCTAAAAACCGCACGTGTTCGATGGTTGGGACTAGGATCCATTACCAAACTTCAGCGCAGGTATTGATTCTGGCTGATACGGAACACCTGAAGGCTGTGATGCTCGGTATCTTGCCGGAAGGCTAGTCCAAGGCGCATCCTTAGACCTGTAGCCCCTCCCAATCAACGCCAGGGACCATTATATTGTCTTGGATGACAAGAACGCCGACGTCTGGACATTGACGTCACACAGGACGTCTCCTCGACAAACCATGCTTCTAGATACACATTAATACATCTACATATATCTATATATATATATTATAATGTATACTGAGCCTGTACGCAATTTAGATGTATTGTGGACACATGGACGTGATGCCAACAGCGCCACAAAGAGCAAATCTTTGTTCTGACCTGCATGTCAGACTCAACAAGAGTCTGAAACACAATCCAAACATGCGAGAATCTGGGTGTTTTGCATGCCTAAACTGCCTTTCGCGACATCGTAAGAATCGGCTCGCCGCAATTCTCAAATGGCGCGCTTCTGGAAAGCGTCGAATTCGGGAGCGCCCAACTTGCAGGGGATAGGTATGAACAATCAATCCCCCCAACGTGGGACACTACCATTCCTCCATTCAAAACGACGCAAAACTCGCAGGCTCTCAAAAAAAAACGGCACCCCTGGCTCAGGGAGACCCCCAGCGCTAAAAGCCTTCGGCATTCTCCTTGAAGAGCTTCGACAGCTTCTCCGCCGCAGCCTGGCAGACTTGCGAGGAGTGGCTTCCGCTGGGAAAAGGCGAGCGACGGTCATACAGTGGATGGACGAAATCCTGTACCACTTTGCAATCGTGGGACACCAGTGTTTGTTGGCATTTGCAGGGGCATCATTATTCCAGGGTTGCTTAGGTGGTGCAGAATCTTGTCCATCCACAGCATCTCTCTGCTACCAAGGGGTTTCCAAGCGAAATAATTTGGCTCCTACCACACTTGAGCGAAAGACACGGCAAATGATGGTTGAGCGGGTTGAACGACTGGCTTTGCACGAGTCGGAGAAAGGGGGGAGCAAATTCCAGAATGAGTCCGTGATTTCAAGACGGACAAGGGCTGTACGGACTTCATGCAAGCTATACTTCGGCTAAACTTGTCATATTGCCCTTCACTGCGCAACATTCACCAGCCCTTGGGCTGAAAAGTATGCAGTGATTCGCCTTGCATCGAGAGGACAGCAGCTCACACATCCCACTTGCATTTTATGCAAGCTAGTTCAGGCTGCAAAATACCCTTCAGAATCCAATCCGCTGAGTATGGCGTAAGTGGTGCTGTGCGGGGGCAAAGGTCTTAACCTCACAATGAGAAACTAAGAGATAGTCAAAGGGGAAAGGGCGCTGCCAGACCAGCTAGACCACAGCACGCGGGCAGTGGAGACCGTGCTGAAGCACAAAAAAAACGATGTTCAAATCATGCACTGAAAGGTTTAGGGAATCAACATCAAATAAGCCATAGTCCGCGGAGTCCGCGATTGAACATGGCGGGAATCAAAGTGCCTAACCCACCTCCGACGGTCCGACCGTGTGCAGCCTAGGTGCTACGCACCCGCTACAATCCACAAACCACAAACGGGCTGATCAAACAGCTTCTACAGCCGGTTCCCCAAACCGAAAATCACATTTTTCATTCTGATCCGCTTAGAAAGTCTCCAAATGCAAAAAGAAATTGGTTCAAAGCAACCCCAAGCCTCTCCGCGAAAACACCTGGCCTCAAAGGCGAACTGGTCAGCCCAGGTCTGGCTGGGCATCAAGATGTTGGAGTCTACGTTGGGGCAGGTCTTGGGCACCTGCAAGTTGAACCTGGCACGGATGGGCAATGAGGTAAACAAGCTCCGAGCTGCCATGAGTCTCCAGCTTGCAGGGAAGTGACAAGTGACAACGAATCAACGAATTATGCAGATTCAGATCTGCTCCGTCTTCCTTTGAGACAAACAACTTGCGAGTTTGTTCGGATCCGAGATCGGGACTTGACTGAACTGTGGCGACCCATCTGCTCTTGACAAACCATCCATGTTTCAGGGGCGCCCAGGCTCTTGAGACCCAGCACCGAGAGCACCTGTGGCATGGTGGTTCTTGTGGGTGCCAAGTGACACCATATGCTAGCATCGGGTAGACATTGTAAGACATCAACAAGAACAATTGCGCTTTAAGCGTTGGCGTGTCTGTCTTTAAAATGCAAAACACGTCATCGTCTGTAGCATTTTGAAAGATGCTTCGCAACAGGATGTAACGCGCCAACACTGGTGATCAAATCAGTGATATCTGACATGCTGACATCAGCTGTCGCAAATGTATGAAGCTCCGGGTACGAGCATGAACTGTGAGTCTCGCACAATGGTTAAATGATATGCAAACACAGTCAATAGTTCACAAGTACTCTGACTGATCTGCATCTACACTCATGCTAAGAAATATCCAACAACACCAAACCAACCAAGTCAATAACTAATCAGTGACAAACTTTAGTTTGAACCTGATACTATGTCAAATGAATCATGCTCAATGAACGGCTTGAATGATGCAACACAACTATGATATCCAATAGTCTAGCTGACACACTTCGCTGGAAACGGCTTTCTGCCGTCACCTGGCCGTGTAGAAGTGAAGGCTGTCCTAGTACTGAGCGCCGCTCTGAAGCTGACCGCTAGGTTGACGAAACTTGGCGGCGCCCCGAGTTCCGTTGTGTTGAGTTGCCCAACAAAACGAACATGGCACACGAGTCTGGAAGCATGTTGAAGCATGAAGGAACCCGAGAAAAAAACTGCCAGAATGATGTTCACGGGGCCTGGCGCCAAGCACCGCCTCGTTCTTGGTTATTCTCTCCCATGGCTCTTAGCTTCCCGTTTTCCCAACCCATCCCATCTCGGGCGCCTGGGGAAGTTCACGTACTCCGCCTTGGCCAACTCCCCCGAGTGGATGGCGTCGATGATGGCCCGGGTGTCCGCGAGGCTCATGCGGTGCCCGGAGCCGTAGGCGCCGCCGGTCCACCCGGTGTTGATGAGCCAGGCGTGCACGTTGTGCTTGGCCATCCTGACTCTACGCGGGCTGCTCCCCTTTTTGGGGTTTGCCAATGGGGGCGAAAGGGATCTAGCCAACATTAGCCAACTGTCCCAAGACAGGAGAACCAAACCCAAGCTTGTGCCATCAAACCAAATGGCCTAAAACAAACCAATCCCGACGCAAAGGTATGGATATGTGGCACTGACAGGGAAGGAAGGGTAGGAACTCAACTCAGTGTTGCCAGCAGTTGAACCTAACTCTACCTGATCTACTTTCCCGCAGACACAGTTCTGAACTACAACTGCTCTCATCTAGATCGATTCCGCCCTCTGTGCATGCATCGCTTGAAGCTTGCCCAACGCAACAAATAAGGGGATCACATGACCAGCAGCCTCGATGCTCACTTTGCGAAGCTAGCGTGAACCAACTCAATTTGCAAACGATACAAATTGCTGCACAATATCTTCTTTGCTTCTGTCCAGCGCAACTCCCCAGCTTTGCTGATTGGCACTTGGAACGCTTTCGGAGCCATGCTTTGCGGCAATACAAAGCGCACTCTGCCGCTTGAAGCTGCTCACATCACAGAGTCCAAGGACGCATGCGCTCTTTGCTGACGGATGAGCTGGCAATAGCTGGCATACGCATGCTTGAGAATAGCCCGTCTTAAATAGCTGGCTCAAGTCTGCAGGTTTCCACAAAGACCAAGGGTGGAGCTTGTCTCATTTGTCTCCCCCCATTCCAAATCCAGATGGGCAATAAAGGGAAACCACCTGGAGAAAACCCCCAACCCCTCCGAGTTGCGTGCGACTTCCGATTTGGTCCCAGGCGCTTGTCCGCTAGGAGCTCGGCATACTTGGCCGGGTGCCACACCATGAAGGGCGCACCGAAGCATGCGGAGAAGGTGGCAGTGGGCTCCGACACGCCCTCCTGAGGCAAAGGTGCCAAACCAGAGATGGAAAAACCTCAAAATGGCGGCTTCCCTTTAAACCAACCCGAAAAGGGTGATACAACAAAACATCGCGGGTTGCAACAGGTTGGTCTCAAACCAGGATTTTGCACCTTCCAAAAAAAGAGGTTTCCTTTGGTTTCCCTTTACACCAACCCCAAAAAGGCATCTCAGGGCATGGGGGCTCTCCAACTTGAAACATATCATCTTCGTAGGCATGCCCCCCCGACGCATGTGAACCAGCAACGTCGAAATGGCAATCCCAAGCAAATGGAAAAGCACTCCGCGTTGTGTAGGGGACTTTAAGATTTACCTGGAGATTCCACGCAGGCCATGACTTACATCAAGTCTTTTGGAAGCTGTTGGCACCCTGAGGGACGCAGCTAGCGTGCTCAACGAAACAAAAGCTGATTACGCTTTTCGTTTAGGACACTGACTTGCTGAGGTGGCTGTTTGCAAAGATTGGGCAAATCACCAAGCTGAGATTGGTTCGCCCCTTTGACACTTGGTTCCCCCCTTTGACACATAGCGTGTACGACCTTTTTGTGGGAAATCAATGGAAGCAAGAGAAAAGGCTACAGCATGATGAAGGCTGACAAAATGAAAAACTCAAATAGTGCGTTGCCTACGTTGAAACCCAAGAGCTTCGCAACAGCCCTGGCTGCTCATGCCTTCCAACCCCGAAAGCAGCTGTGACCTGAATCGACCAAAGCTACATGCAGGTTCATTGTCTTCATCGGGCTTGGTACAATGTTTAGATAGGCCAATGTCCCCAGGTTTCACGTGAAAAAAGGCTGCAGGGCTGGGGACATTGGTTTCTGAATGTTTAAGACGCTAGAAGAGCTGTTATCTTCCCATTCTGCAGCGCCATTTTGTAGACCCGACCAAAGCCTCAGCCTCAGCCCGTTCCTCAAGCACATCCCGCCTCAGTGCCAGCGACCTTTGCAGTGTAGCCTGAGATGAAGTGGTACATCGCCTGGCGAACTCACACCGCCTTTGCACGATTTCGTTTTGATTCTCCATACTAGCTTAGTTAACCTCAATTGTTTTTTCTCACTTCCTGAGTGGTCGGCCCAAAGCAAACATCCAAACTAGCTTGTTTTAACCACGGAAATGGTCGTTTCACAAGAAGTCCCAGACATCCTTGACGCGTGAATCCCCTTGCACCTTTTTTTACCAGCAAAGTATAGAAAAGCCTAACACCAACAGCTTGACCAGCAAAGGGTACATTTTGCCAAATTGCCACCCGGCCAGGGCCGGCCGAACATCAGCAATCAAAGCATCAAAGCGCAAGGAGCCAAAGTTCTGATCAGTCTTCGCCTGCTCGGAGGTGAGCTTGGACACTGGCGGCAGCACTCCAAAGGCATCGCACGTGAGCCTCGGTAGGCGGTTAGGTGCTTGGCGTCCTTTCGCTAAACCGTCCAAGAAAGATGGCCCCTTAGTTTGAGATACACAACCTGGGTGCGAACTGCCTCTTTGCTTGGGGTGCTGGAAGGCAATGCACATCTGGATCCCAACTAGCTTTGGGCATGTTTTGGCAGAACGGAGTCACCTCGCGTAGGTTGAGAGTTGCAATTCAGCACATGCCTGGCTAATTTCCAAAGCTGTTCGTTGAGCCCACATAAGCAACCTCACACTGTTTTGGACTTCGCTGCATCATGTTTGACTTCAACATGTTGTCATTTTGCCTATCGGGAGTATGTCAAGCAAGCTCTGCATCTTGCTGTGCAAGCCATTTGCAGAATCCTGCCTCTCTCTCTCTCTCTCTCTCTTGTCTCTCTCTCGCCCTCTCTCTTTCTTTCTCTCTCTCTCTCTCTCTCTCTCTCTCTTTCTCTTCACCGCCATACTTCCGGAAGGAAATCCAACCCCACCATTCGCGGCCTGTGGAGTCTGTACAGGCCCGTGCACGCCGAACAGTAGTGTGTTCCTCATCTTCCCTGCTCTTGCTTTGCCTTCCAAAGGTTACTGGCATGCAGAGGGCAAAGGTTTCCATCAAGCACTTGGGTTCCTTCTTGTGGTAGCCACTGCCAAGGCACATGATGATGTTCTCAGGGTGCCCTCCCACGGCCGGGATCTTGGCGTTGGGGATGTACTCCAGGGGATACCTGCAGGGAGGGAAGGGAGAGGGACGGAGGGAAGGAAGAGGGAGGGAGGGTTGGTGGGTGGTAGGTAGGTGGCAGGGGAGCAAACAGCCAGTCAGACAAGCAACCCCTCGACCAGCCAATGGCAGCATATCTGGCAGCAAATCGTCACACACACACACACATGCTGACCCAGGCGTCAAGCAGTCCTGCTTTTTTCGATTTTCAGTCAGGCATTGGCCTTGAGGATCTGTGCCGAGAAGTTTGTACTGCAACTGTTCAAAACTGGCTCCAGCTGTTCCCAGGATTGCCTTTTAGACAAAGGTCCGGGCTTAGAAGCAAAAGCCCTGGTTGCAACAGAATGAATGGCACAGTTGACCATCAGCTTGGCATTCGTTGACGCGATGAGCATGGGCCCTCCGAAATGCCCTCCAGCAGGACAGCTTCGTAGATGCGTTGCAAGGGTCCTCTGACGTGAAACCAACCAATTTGGTCTATGGGTGTGTGGCAAAGGGAAGATTTTCAGACGTTCCAAACGATGCAAAAGGAAACCCACCTGTTGCAAGACACGCAAGTTGCCGCGCTTTTTTGCGTCTGGGATGCGAGACGCGGGTGTTCTCCGTAATGCTGCAGTCGTCATAGTCCACAGTGCCCGTGCGCTGATCAAAGACCACCTTGGCCGGCAAGTGGAATGCTGGTGCCAGGATCTACCTTCCTCCCAAGTGTGGAAGCCCCTTCATTCCAAAAACGGGGTCACGAGCTGGGAACTTCAGTCGGCCAAAATCGATGCCGTCCTTTGGGCAAAGGTCTTGCTGCTCGGAAAGAACCCCAGTCCTGGATCAGCCCTCCCTGGCACATGGTGCCCTGAAAGGAGAAGCAACATGCCTGCGAATGGGCCAGAACGATGGCGCCTTGTCCAGCCACGCTGGACGAGTTGCATTGCAAAGGCTTGCTTCGGAGACGTATCTCGCAATGCGAAGCCGGCCGGAGTTTCCCGGGTGCGTTACGTTTCGCGCAGCTGGCCGAATCGCCGTGTTGTGTGCAACTCTCAGGTTGGAACAGCTGCTGGGCCTGAAAGCTTGCCAAGGTGCGTTCTCCAGCAGTGCTCCAAAGCCTTGGCACGGGCACGTCAGGTTGCTTCGATTCGCGGAAGAATCTCAATATTCACACTACGAGCTTGCTGAAACGGTTGGTTTCCTCTCATTTTGTTACTTTTGTTTGCTGGGGGGACTCAGTCCCTTTGTAACGGGGAGCCATCTTTGTTAGCCTTATAAATGGGCTTCTTTGGCATAGGCCCAGGTAACGGGTGACCCTTCACCAATGCGCCAACTGCAGCGTCCATCCAGATCAAGTGCTTCCAACTACTACACGGCTGGCGTGTCGAGCCAAACTCAACCTCGCATCGTACTGCACTGCCACAACTGGCATGCAACACATGATGAGTCGAAGACCTGTCAGAAGCGATGACCCCTGTCCCGCTGCACCACCTCTTCCATTGCTGTCCGGTTGGATTGGTGGCTTCCCGAGGCTGACGCATTCCAAAACTCTCCCACGCGCAACCTGAAACCGTCCGAGCTGCGAATGGCGTCCCAAATCTCTGGCTCCTTCTCCCTGGTGAGGCCAATGGCCTTGGCATAGCAGCCGCCCTCGATATTGTAGATGCCCTCAGAGGCGGCAACGGGGCACCTCCCCCATAGAACGCGGCGTCGCTGGTTTGGACGGACAGTGGCACTCAAAAAATGGTTGGCGGGAGGAAAGGGCTTACAGGTTACCAACTCTGAGTTAGAGGGGCAGGGAGGTCTCACCATACTCCTAGCAGCCTACCTGCGGTGGGTGTGTACAAATGCGTTTGTTCCAACAAGCTTGAGGAGGCGAATCGATGGATTGGATTGGATTGGATCCGATGGACTTGTTGATTGCTTGATTGACTGCTTGATTGTTAACTTAAATGACTGCCTGACCAACTGATTCACTCACTCATTGATTGATTGATTGATTGATTGATTGATTGATTGTTTGGCTGGCTGGCTGGCTGGCTGGCTGGCTGGCTGGCTGGCTGGCTGGTTGTTGATTGATTGTCCAATCATTGATTGGTTGGCCTCTATTGCCATCCATTATGGCGCCTGCGGGCCTTTGCGAACGTTTTCACTCTACCATGTACTGTTGAACCTCCTCTCAGGTTGCAGTTGACATATGACCAAATGAACCTATAGCCTGCAAGTAAGCATGGTACTTGTTAGCGTTCACCGGCTGTGTTTTGCCTGCTGCTTCCTCTTCGTCCCACCGTATAAAGGAATCCGCCCTGCGATTGATTACCAAGGCTATAGATCAAATATGGAAATTTGGAAACATGGTCATCAGGTAGGTGTGAAATTTGTGCCGAGGATCCTAGTCCGCTTTCGCCTCTGAGAAAGTAAGGCTCCACATGGCACATGTTTCCAGAAAAGCGTGAGTGTCGAGCTAGGGCCCTCAAGTCCCTTCAAAGCCCAGTTACAGCCACGCGCTGCCATTCTGCCCGAGGCTTCTCTTAGTCCCGTCTCGATAACATACGCATGCATATGTTAAATGAATAAATGAATATGTATATATATATATATTTATATTTATATAACACATATATATACATATATACATGACGGTTGTCTGAAATTCCTTGTTCCGGAAACCGCCATCTTCGCGAGAAAAAAAACTTTCGCGGGCCCCATCGCGGAACTTTCGTGGGTCTGTTTTCAGAATATTCATCACAACAGTAGTACACGAAGTACACTTTCGCAGCCCCAGCTCGAAAGTCGCAGCTCTTCAGTGCGAAAGTAGTACTGAAAGTAAACTTCAGCAGCCCGGCTTGAATACGAAAGTAGTACACGAACTAAACTTCCTCAGCCTCGAAAGTCAAAACTTTTCAATACGAAAGTAGTACACAAGGTGAACTTCCGCAGCCCCAGCTCGAAAGTCGCAAGCTTTCAGTTCCAAAGTAGCACGCGAAGCGCGCTTCCGCAGCTCCAGCTCACAAGCTGTGAGCTACGCACGAGAGGACCGTTGGCCTCATGTCCGGAAACTGGCGGGGAGGTCCGTTGACATTCGCGAAACTTTCGCGGATCTTACGCCAAACATTCGCGAAAATCCGGCTGGAAGTTGCGCTCAACTTGCCCCGATAGCTTCAAAACTCCCCGGAAGCTGGTTTCTGCTGGCTGGGGGTTGCTTTTGCAGCGGCGTATTCTTGCGGCGACCCTCAGGCTGCGCATTCTCCGACCAACTTTAGTCTGCGGGCATTCTGCGCGCACTGCCGGTAAATACACATGGTTCATCACTCCAGCTTCCTGTTGGCGAGCCACACAAAACTTTTGCGGAAAAAACAAAAACTTTCGCGACCCCTTTCGCGGAACTTTCGCGAAGGTCAACGCTAAGACCAAACGGTCTTCCCCTTCATAGCTCAATACAAGGACCTTTCGGACGACTCTCACACGTGCAATACATTTTACGGTCCACTACGTACATTACATTACATTACATTACATTGGTTTTACATACATGCACGCATGGCTGCCTATCTCTGTGCCTACCTACCTACCTGTACCTGTCTACCATCTAGCGATCTATCTACCTATCACATCACACACACACACACGCACACGCCCAAAGGAAAATCCCACCAGGGCCCATGCATTGTCGGTCCAGGCATGCTCGTCGTCTCCAATGAGCTTGCGGTGCCTGACAAACAGATCCTTCCGAGTGCGTAACACCTTCGTGTCTTCGTGAGTCTAGAAACCCATGTCTGTTCAATCTGTGTACAGGGACCGTTTACAAGAACCTTTGCATATTCTGGCCAAAATGAAGGTGCAGATTGTATGTTGAGTGCCTTTTGGGCTTGTACCGGTGCTGTCCTTCAGAATGAATCATGCCCTAGTTCTGTGAAACCCAGATGCAACAACGGCACAGTACCAATACGCACGAGAAAGCAATGGACAAACATTGTGCAACATGCCTTCACTTGTGTGAATCTCATGTTCAAGCTTTTGGGTTTACACGTCGCCGTTGTGCGACATCTTGCAATGGGATTCCCCCTTGAGGCACAAGCAAGTCACACACACACGTACAGGCTTGACATTGTTGAATGACTAGTGGTTCCAGTTGTTCTTGCGGTAGGGGTAGGTAAGTCGATCGAAACACACACACAAACTCCACAGCTCAATTGCACAAAGTTGAGTCAATCCCACACATCAAAGCGGAATCTTTCTCTTCGGGTTTCTGGCCTTGCGCTGAAGATAAGTTGAAGGAAATCGGGAAAACTCCAGGGAAGACTCTTATATTGGGCGGGCTCCCCAGTGGACAAACCCGCTTTTTCAGCCAAGGAGTGCTCGGCCGTACGGATATGTCTTTGCGGATTGATGTCCAAGTGCCCGCTGGTGGTTACCATGGAAACGTGGCACTTTCCCCTTTTTATCCGCCCAAATTAATGGGAACACGTATGCTGTGCGTGTGTGCCTGTGTGTGCGCGTGCTTGTGTGTTATATGTGTTGGAGTGTTGGTGTGTTGGTTGGTGTGCTGGTGTACTGGTGTGCTGCTGTGCTGGTGTGCTGGTGTGTTGGTGTGTTGGTGTGTTGGTGTTGGTGTATTGGTTGGTTGGTCGGTCGGTCGGTCGGTCGGTTGGTTGGTGTGCTGGTGTGCTGGTGTGCTGGTGTGTTGGTGTGTTGGTGTGTTGGTGTGTTGGTGTGTTGGTGTGTTGGTTGGTTGGTTGGTGTGCTGGTGTGCTGGTGTGTTGGTGTGTTGGTGTGTTGGTGTGTTGGTGTGTTGGTGTGTTGTTTGTTTGGTTGGTTGGCTGGGTTGGTTGGTTGGTTGTTTGGTTGGTTGGTTGGCTTGGTTGGTTGGTTGGTTGGTTGTTTGGTTGGTTGGCTGGCTTGGTTTGCTGGCTTGGTTGGTTGGTTGGTTGGTTGGTTGGTTGGTTGGTTGACTGGTTGGTTGACTGGTTGGTTAGATTGCTTGGCTATTTGCTTGCCTGCTTGATTGCCTTTTTCTTTGTGTGTCAGCCTTAGCTTCCAATGGTTCAGGGCCAAGGCCCAACACGATCAACTCTTACAGGTGCGCCATGCCAGGTTGACTCCCCAAGCACGACCCCAATTCGACAGAATCCGAACGGGACTCTGCAAGCCAAAGGTCTCATCAGCTGACAGGGTCGTCTTCCCAGTGCCGCTGAGCCCAAAAAAGATGGTCACATCGCCATCCTGGCAGTGGGACACACCAGGGTCTTCCCACGCAAAGTGCTTGAATCTATGATCAAGAAGCCCTAGAAATTGCGAAACGGTCGCTTCTTGAAATGTAAGCGCCCTCTCTGAAATCCTGGATTCTTGCACTCACCAACCAAGACAAGACCTCCGAAATGTTGCTGATTTCTCTACGCTATCTGATCCTGGGAGTGCGCCCATGACCGTCACAGCGAACACAGTGATGAACCTTTTTTTCGAGAGATCTGGGCCTACAGTCAAACAAAGCAGCTGGCCTCTCCGAGTGAGTAAGTGACCGTCTTTCCCAAACCATGAGTACATGTGGCTGTACGTTGGTGCCTGGGTGATGCCTTGACGAAAGCAGCCCACAAAGCAGACCGGGACAGGACCTGGTCCGGGAGCTCCAAGGAGCAGGGTGTGGCGCAGAAAATAAGGTCCGAAATGGTAAATGGAAAGTAGACTAAAACCTGCGTAACCCCAGCTGTTTAATGTTGAGCCACACCCCTATCAACCCGAACCAAAGCTACACAAAAACTTCAGATGCTGCAGCCACTAACCCACGTCGGTCCTTGCCCTCATTGGCGCTGGCGTGCATGCTCAGGATTCCATCCCTGGGCAGCAGGTAGTTCATGATGGTAAAGACGCCCTTCTTCATCTCGCCAGCATACCTAAGTAGCCCCGGTTCATGTGAAGGTCATTCTATTCGCAAGGATGGGAACTGATGGAACTAGAAAGACCATGTTGGCCTCGACATCACGGCTTTCTGGCCTTTCTTCGCCACGAGCCGAAGGGGGGGGCTAACCTCCAACCCTTGCCACAAGTGCGGGACACCCCAAACAAAAAGGACAAAGGCACGTTCTATGAAGAGGGTTAGTGACAAACACAAGCGCCTGAATCAGAATTACCGTTTCGGTGTCAAAACCAGGGACCCCATCATCATCGGGGACCGTTTGGAAGGGAGCCACATGAATCCAACAAATTTGGGAGAGACTCAACTTTAGCAAACAGGTGCTGCAATGAGAACAGGGCTCCCTCTCACTCCCTCATTTACTTAAACATCACCCCACTCAAAGCAGGCTCACTCAGCATGGCCCCAGCGGGTGATGTTTAAACAGCCCGAAAAGGAAAACCTAGATGCCAAGGGCTCCATGCCATGGCCCTTCCTTTCAAGGGTTCAGATCGACCCAGCTGCTGTGTGCCGAGGATGACCACCTCCTTGGACCTGAAGTTCAAAGACACGGAGGTGCCGCTGGTCATCCCCTCCGTCGCGCGGTTCGCCGGGAAGGCGCCTGGCAAGGCGGCGACTGCGGGCGCGCGCGGCCTGAACAACGATGTGGATGTCTACATGTGTGCCTGCCTGCGTGCGAGCGTGCGCGGGTGGGCGAGTGGGTGTAGGTGTGTTTGTTTGTTTGTTTTGATTGTTTGTTTGTTTGGTTGGTTGGTTGGTTGGTTGGTTGTTTGGTTGGTTGTTTGTGTTTGTTTCTTTGTGTGTCTCTGTTCCAAGGGCAGAAGTACAATGCTGGGTGTGTTTGTGTTTCGTGTGTGTTTCGAGGATGTACTTCGAACTTGGGGTTGGAAACCAACACGGACAAACACTGTGTTTACCATTCTGCTGCAATCCTTCAACCGGAAGATTCACGCCCTGTAAAAGTGACCTTCCCCATGGACCTTTTCTGTGAGGCGGCCGAAATTTGCCCAGATGCGCTTTGCCATGCAAAGACCTCGTGGTCGTGACCAAGGACCAAACTTGTTGGAGAGCGGGTGGGCGCCACACTTCCAAAACCAAGGATTGACATGGATTATTAAAGCATCTTAGTATGCCGCTCTCTTCAAGTAGGAAGTAGCTCCCTGCTGACAAGGCTTGATTTGTATTCTATTCCGAGTCTGACTGGGCATGTAAAATAGCAGTCGTTCGCATAGCTACCTTTGATCCCTGATGGAAGGCATCATGAGTTAGTGTTTGGTTGGACAGAAAACACGTCTTATCTGGACTGTGGAAGGCTACCACGTGCAAGAAACTATGCAAAGGCAAGGGCAACAGCTGCCAGGCAGCTGCAAGATCACTGCAACCACTACACAATGTATGCAATATATCTCTAGGCCGAACCTTGTGATTGTGGGGCAGCTGCATTGCTGGGGAAGAAATGAGCAAAGCCAGTCTAAACAACATCATGGTCAATACACCCTGCCCGTGAGGGTTCAAATGCTTTGGCTAGAAGCGGAAACTTATTTCAACAAGCATCCGCAGTGCCAAAAGCATTGACAGCCAAAAGCCAACTGCCTTGTGGCTAACATGTCACGTGCTGCCGCTGCAGGCCTAGGTTGCAAAAGTGGGAGTGCTACCCGTCTTTCTTGCAGCATAGCAGGCTGGAACCCCTCCGATTTCATAAATACGCGGCCTGCGTTGTAGATGGTGTAGTCCGGCTCCCCGAAATTGGCCAACTCTTCCGCGCTGGGGCGAATCAGCATGTTGTGCATGAAGAGCGCGTGGTAGGCCCGGCTGGTGATGATCCGGATCTTGTAGCGGTGCTCGGTGTCCCAGCCCGCAAAGCCGTCGAACACGTAGAGCCTGATGAGCCAAGTGCGTGCTGGGAGATGCAGAAACTTCTCCGCAGCTTGGGGTGGGTGGATGGACAAACATAAAGTTCCGCTGGGCGAGGCAAGGAGGCCTCGGGGGGAGACGAGGGGGGGGGGGGGGGGAAAACGAGGAAGCTGCCTTGAGCAAACCCACTCAAGGTGTAACAATACAGCAGCGCAGCAACTGGAGTGTGTGTGTGTGTGTGCCTGTGAGTACATACTTTCATAGGGATTGCAGTTGAAGGGCTCCTCACAGCACCGGATGCCGATACGAGATGGGCAGTTCGGTTGCACACATCAAGCCCACAACTACTGCCGTAAAGTCTTTATGTTAGCCCAGGTAACTTCCGAAATGTCTCAACCTGCCCTCAGCTGTTTTCTTGACCTATGCAAGCCCGCTGCTCCGAGCCTCACACAGTTGCCCTTCCCCCCAGAAGAAATACAGATTGGAGCTGGGACACTCAGAAACACCAGTGTCCTTTAATGTTGACCCCTTTTTGGTATGTACCCCCTTGAAGGTCAGAAGGTTTTGCGGGGGCAAGATTTTGGAAGGTTTTTTGCCTCCCCCCCTAAATAATCTGGAATTGAGTTTCCATTCGATTTAGTATTGCTGGAGCTTCCTTTTGAGATCTGGAATTGAGTTTCCATTTAGAAGGCCTGGTTGTTTTTTTTGGGAGGGTGGGGCCGATGGACCGCACGAATTAGGGGGGTTATTAATTGGGGGTGTAAGGGGCCAATGTGGGGTACCCTTTGAAACCTTCTAAACTTGATTTTTCTCCATCTCAGAACGCTTTTTGTGGTTTCGGCAGGCCCAAAAGCATCCACCAAGCTTCAAGATGAGAGTAGGAGGTGGAGATGAGAGCCCTAAGAAAGGCAGCAGCATGAAGAGAAAGGTATCAGAAGAAAGCATGAGCCCATTTGAGCCAAAGCACCTTTTCAGGACACCATTCAGAGAAACAATCTTCAACATCAGCAGCATCAGCTAGCACCAAAAAACAGTTTACATTGTAATGAGCTCAGGCAGCAGTGGAGAAAATGAGATAGCAGCAGCCATCTGGGGGAGGGACCGGTTTAATTGGGCGGGGGGGGGGGGGGGTTTGGATCCATTTTGTATTTGGGGGGCAATTTCTGAGTTATGATTTGTTTAGTATTGGGGGGTGTCACCCGGACCGGACTATTAGGGGGGAATTTTAATACGGGGTCAACATTACAAAACGGGGCGAACTCCTTGGCCGCTTTTCTTGAACATTGATTTCTTCAAACGAACTTAAACCTCCTGGCCCAACATTTGCCCAGCCCACTGCAACGAACCAGCCAGAAACCGGTCTAAGTTTCAGTATTCTCGTCCTCCCCTACGTGTCGATCGTCGACCGAATCGTCCACGGTTTCTCCCCGGTCCTTTCGCGAGTATTCAAGTAATCGATGGCACGCTCGCGGTTGATCTTGAAAGTCTTCTCTGACAGCGGGATGTTCACTGCGCCCCACCAAATGTCGTCTTTAGTGCTGGGCTCCTCGCGAGACAGCCCTTGCTCCAGTTGCTGGGTGGCCCTGGTAGAAACAGGGCTTTTGAGGGCGCGCGAATAGTGGGGAACTTGCCAAGCACAAAGACAAGAAAAAGGGTGCCCCTGAACAACTGGTTTGCCCCCGGTCAGATCTGCGGTGAGGCTTCAACCTCCGCGAGCGGTGCAAACACGCGCTAACACGCGCTAGTCAGAGCAGGCCAACGAGATCATGCTTGAACTCAAAGTGAAAGGTGCTGAACCTCTGGCAAATGCAGAAAATTATATCATTGACAGTAGTAGTATTGAAAGCAGCCTCTTGACAAAAACCACAAAGCCGTCTGGTGACCTCTACGCATGCCCATTTCTGCACCTCGCCCAGCTCCACATCACGTCAGACAAGCCAGCTAGTGCATGCAATATTTTGTTTCCTTCCCTGTATTGCTGGGACCTGAAGCCTGCAGTTCCCCTTTGCGTGCCTTTTCTTGATGCCCTTGCCTTTCTGCACTTTTGGGGGTTCAGGAAAAACTCCTGAAGACCCAAAAGCCCTTGACACATTCCCACCTCAGGTGGCAAAAACCTGACCAACACCATCCAGTGACAGACTTTATTCTACAGAAATAAATCCCCCACCCCTAGCCTCTACACCTAGCACTGCCCCTACCCCATGATAACGTGGCGGAAACTGACAAGCGCGGATGCCGGTCAAAAAGCCGATTGCAACTGGAAACAAAAACTTCCACATACTCCTTCCACATCCTCTAGCGTATTGCCTGGGTTTTTCTTTTGTGGCTTTTTGGTTTTCGCGCAAGCGCACACGGATCTCCCATTCCCCATTTCTCGTGTCCTCCACCACGCGCTTGTCCAAGGGGGATCTGCCCGTCTTTGCCCCTGAGAAGGCCGCCAAGGCCCCCGTGGACAGGATCGCTGAGCCCTTCTCGTAGCGGAGCGCCTGGCGCGTGGAGGCCCTGCACCCCTGGGATTGGCGGCAATCTTTTTGAGGGATGGCAAAGGGTACTGTATAGACTAATTGGGTTTTTGATTTGCAGACCCTCAATTTGAGTTGCGAGCCGCTTTCTACACAAGTAGGCAGCACCAATACCATTGAATGAATGTATCTGGGTGCTTATTTTGCAGTTTGGGGATGCCAATCCAACCAAAAATGACAATACACTGTCCGACGTGCAACGTGATGATATATATATATATATACACATAAAAAGAGAAAGAACACGTGTCAACAACTGCACACTCAATCCAAACTACCAGCCTTCTGCAGCATTCTGCAATAAGAAAGTGCTTGGGAGATGTTGCTGCTGAGGGACCTATGATCTATGGGAAAACCAACCAGATAGTCCGAACACATCGGTGCATGCTTCGTTGTGCGGGTGTCTTGCCAACGCCTCTAGGGTGGGGTGCTCCGCTGAAGAAAACATCTAGAAGCATGCCTACACAGAAGGAATACTTTGGTCATTGGTCTGACTGGTTGGTGCATGTCAGTGCTACTGGAAGCCGAAAGCAAACTGTTCAAACCAGTGCTACCGGAAGCCGAAAGCAAACTGTTCAAACATGTTTCCAAAGCAGTTGATCATGTGGTTTATCCAACATCCCCGCTCATCAGCTCAGTTTAGCAAACTTATTCCCCATTGAAATGCATTCCTCAACTCTGCGCGCCTCGTCGTACAAAGTGCCTGGACGCGCGTTATGCTGCACCCACTGTGTGTTGATGCCCAACTCATGAAGCATCTTGAGGTCAGCATCCGCATGGTGCCTGAAAAAAGTGCGTCACAAATCGGGTAAAATAAGCGGCTGATACGCGAAACCCTGCAGAAGGGCGAGGCTTGGAGGCGTTGCCAGGTCACATTGACCATAGCGAACCCTCCGTTCCGAACCAGAGAGGAGACATAAAAGGCACATGCAGGCTAACACACATACACACGTTCTCTCGAACAAGGACATGCTCTCCTCCTTGGACATCAGCGTGGTAAAAGGGAATAGGTCTGTGCGATGCGTTCTCGCCGTGGTGTGAAGCAGGGGCAGGACCACGGCTACGCACGTTGGGACACGTTTTGGCACAGCAAGTGGAACATGAAGAATCAAAAAGCAGCCATGGGCGGAGTTGCACAAAACCAAACAGGACCGGGGCTTGTCAGTTTCCTGACTCAACCTGGGTTGAAGAGCTTATTCTAAGTAGGCTTGATGGCAAAGCATATTTCACATGATCAGCCAGCCAGTTTCCGAGTCATTGGTGGCACTAAGTACGCCCACACAACACAATCCAACATGATGCCTGCATGTAGGATGCAAACGTTGTGTGGACGTTTTTGCTTTGCCCAGCTCACCCCATCAACAAATGCCTTGCGTTCTTTCCCTCGATGCCGGCCCTAAGCCCGGCTCCCATTCCGAGGGACGGGTAGTCCGCAGGGAACTGGTGGGCTGCGCTCTGGGTCACCTTCAAAGCCTCCGCCACCCTGGATCGCACCTTCGCCTGGCCGGGAGGACATGGCTGGAGGGGAATTTAGTTGGATAGCCTGACCTATTATCTGCAAAGAACGGCGGCGAGGTGTGCGAGGGTGTCTCAGGAAGACGAAGGTGGCGAAAAAACGGGGATGCTGTCTCAGGACGGCGTTCGAGTTTTTAAGCACCTGTTCTCTGCACAACGCTGCTGGGTCGCAATGTCCGTGAAATGGCGGCCATTGTCCGTGAAATGGCGGACTGTTTCATGGCAAAATTGACTTAGCTGAGCTGAAAACAAGAAAAGCCCTGCCAGAATCGCACCTGTGCCAACAAAATGTTAAATTTGCCAAAAAGAGGCGAGCGATCGACCCTATGACCATCGACCCTATTTTTCGAGGACGATGGAAGCTCAGGGATATGGACGAACCCATGGATACCCATGTTGGTTCTGCTTGGCGTCTGCCTCCCATAGTTGAGTCATAATTGACGGGGTTTTGACCACAAACCCGGGGTTCATGCCAGCTTTTTGTATCTATCCTGATGCAAGGTTGGTGCTCCGACTGGTGCCTCAGGGCTTTGTTTCAAGCCCTTGCCAAATCGATCGGCGGCTGTGAGCCAACCAGCCTGAGCCCTGACGCAACACAAAGTGTATCATGGGCATGTACAGAACCCGCGATTACGATTGGCGCAAATCCTTCTGGTTTATAAATTGAATATAGGTGATCCAGCAGCTTAATCATGGGCAAATAGATCGTGTCTACCTTCCCTGGACAAATCATAATATGAATGTAAGTATCCACATGACACATGATGTATTTCAATACATTTCAGCAGTGAGGTTGACATGCTTGTGAACACGTTCATTGTCCAAGAGCCACAACGGGCACAAAATTTAGACTTGGCCAACTCGCCTGATCTGCGAGGAGCCGGCTGGTGTGGAGGAAGCGGCCGGCACGGCCAGCGGTCGCTGCCAAGGTCCTTCGCACTTCGCACATGATGCAGCTTCCTGCCAATTCCAGTAGAATGCCAAGATCTGAAGCAATCTCCAAGTAAAGGGCCCTCATTATCGTGAGCTTGTTTGGCTCCAGTTACGTTCGTTATTTTTTCGGCAGAGCTATGGTCGACGGCTGATTGCGTCATGTCAACCCCTGTGGGACCTATTGTCAAAATAGTTGTCTCACTGCACAGGCTTCACTACACAAGGCTGAACATATATTCGTGAATCTGGGCGAAGTAGAAGCAATCACCAACCTAGAACAAAGAGGTTGCTAGTACAAAGCCGAACACACGTGTCACAAATCGATGCGACAAAACATGACAAAACTGGGTTCCACTCCACTTGGTTGACTTCATGCTGGTTCCCTTTTGAGAAAACAGTGCCCAGTCCTGCCACGCAGCACGCCTCTCCCCCGTGCAAATGGACTGCCATGCAAAAACGAGAACTTGTAGTCCCTTGCTTGAAAGGGGGAGCTGACCCACCAATGCTGGAAATCAACCCATCAAGAGGCAGCTCCAAAGCGAGGGCTGAACAATGTCAACATGTCAACATGACACCCTTCTCCCCACCAACCGATCACTCCTCGCTGCTCCACGAGTCGCCATGGCACAAAGGTCACTGGTCACTGGAATCGGACAGCTGAAACTGAAAATGGCTTCGCAAAAGGGATAGCTTATCCTTCCAGGAAATCCGCATGTAACATTCAATGCACACAAGAAAACAGTTGCTACTGTTGAAGAACTTCTTTAGAGCTCGTCAAAAACAAGCGTGGCAATGACTGAATAATCCTGAAGCACTTGCCACTTGTTGAGGAAATACTTGGTGCTTCACAAAAAGATCGTGCGTAGCTCCACCAAGGTGCAAGCAGCTACGACTTACAAACAGGCCTTCTGGTGGCCAGCCGAGTGCATTCAGGTTTTGCCCCTCCTATGCAATCCTTCTCAAACAACTGCATCGACGAATCGACGAAAGGCACAAGCAGAAAGTGAGTTCCCAGAACCTGCAATGTGGCGCCTTCCCTTGTACGAGTACCATCATCAACCGCTCATCACCTGCTTCATGAGCAAGGGTCAAGCTACACCAGGCAGTTCCATTTGCCCAAGCCTTCGCCCAAACCAGATCTTAAGGCTCCCAGCCTCGTCTACCTCCGATGCCCACAATGCGAGAAGTGTCATGGACAAGCTGAAGACATCGGCCGGGAAACCTCAAGACAAGCGGAAACATCGCTGTCAACAACCCTCTCCCTGTTTTTCAAGATGTGGGTGTGTCTCCCATTAGTGCCCACAAATGGGTGGCTTCCAGTTAGTTTGCAAACAACCAAATAAAGGTAGCCTCGACAAAGATGCGCCCATATCTCCCCACGGGCCAAAGTTGCCACAATAGAGCTGTCATGGCTGCCCACAAGCCCCCCACATGTCTCATGCCCGCAAGCCCTCAGTTGTTCGATTCCAACCCTTCTATAACGTAGCTTGCACAAACGCGAAAGGCCAGAAATATAGACAAGGCTGTTCTTGTTTCTAGCTGACTGGTTGGCTGCGAGTGACATCTGTTGCACTCTAATCTCTCAAAGGCACCATAGCGCTTTCCCAGCTCCGGGGCGGAGTAGAGAGAGCTCAGCGCGGACTCGTCCAATGGCACGCCACCTGCCTGTCAGGCGTCAAAGAGCGAAAACCACAAGATTGCAGGAATCATCCAAGCCCCAGAGAGCGGTTTGACTGGTTCGGGACCCTCACCGACAATTCATGTCCGTTTTGTTCTGTTTTGCGCCAGGGCTTGACTTTGCTCCCATTGCTTCAAGCAAAGGGTATTGGAGCAAAGTTACTTTAAATGAGATGTCGCAATGACATGAGGCAAGCAACCCATGCTGCTGCTGACACGTTCAAAAGAACCGTGGCCGGAAGCGTGTCTTTGTCAGGCCAGCAAGGGCTACAACGTTGGCAGCATCCCGCCCCGCTTTCTTGGTAAAATGACCGGATTACTGAAACACAAAACGAAGCTCAGGTAGCTCCTTGCGGGTGAGTCGTCTAAAACTGAGGGGCCACCCTTTGATTTGAAAGACGAAATGGGGGTCCCCAAATGACATTTCCTCCAACAAACGATGGAGTTGTGAGTTCTGTGTTTCTCCCGTGCATCCGGTTGGACGACAAGAATGCCTCTACACCATCGAGCTCGCCCGACAACTGCACCGCCAATCCAAAGTCCCCCAACCGCAGCTCCGACCCGGAGAGCAAAACGTTCCAGGGGTTCAGGTCCTCAGCAAACACCAAGGCTGTGACTTATGGATTTCCGATTTGTCATGGCAAACAGCTGGCCCTCTCCAGGCACACCACCCAACAAGCAACAGCGCTGAAATAAGCTGGCTCCAGCCCATCTAAGCAGCTTCCTCCCAGCAGACCCCTGGAAAATGCCCGAAACCGCTGAAGCATTAATTCATGCTCGTAGGTGTTGAGTTTTAGGCCTGCCTCCATCCACTGCCAGGTACTCTCAGACGTGGCCCAAACGTGAAATTATTGAACGTGGTCACGTTGTTTTCCTTAGTTTCCTGGATTGCATCGGGCATTGCATCACTTGCTGCTGCATATGCCTCCCTGCCCATTTTTGCAGAACGATACGTCAGAAGGTACTCTGCCTTATGCATGCTGAGACAAGTGGTGCCATCCCAGCCAACGAACAAAGGTGGACAAGCTGAGCAAGCCGAACACTGAACCACCTCGATTCTAACAGTGTGAGGCCAAGGGGCTCTTAATATCTCAACAACCGAGCTTTTCACTGGTCTTCTGTTTAACTGCGTCCACCAGCGGGCAAGGGAAACAGCAGCTAGCCTGATTGGCTGCACCCAACCTTAACAACAACCAACCAGACAAAAGAATGTGTTTTTCCGGCCCCGGTGGGTCGCGTGTCTCCATAGGCCACCCTACATCCCCGCCAAACAGCGCCCTAGAACAATCCAAAACAAGATTTCTCAAAGAATGACTAGGAGGGTAACCCGAAACCAGTGCTTTGGGGATCAGTCCGAGTGGCCCGGTGTAGCACCTGAAGGCTATGACAGTGGCTCACCGCTCGGCAGAGCTGCAAACTCCAAGCTGCTCTGTCCACGTGGCCCTTAAGGCTCCTTGCGGCTCATGGGGGTTGGACACTTGACTGGTAATTCGTAGAGGCTAACACCCGGAAATGCAGCTGAGTCAAGGTGCAAGTTGCTGCAAACCCTGCAAGATCTGCAGCTTGCACAGGTGAGCGGCTATGCTGCAAGAGTTATCCTGGGGGACCCTCAAATGACGATAGATCAGGCTACACAAGTCGTGGCCTGACAAAGCTTTGATCCTCACCATCCATGACAGGATGATGCCGCGGCTACCTAATCAGCCGTTGTGGAGTACTCGGATAAAGTGTTTAAAGCCCTCTGTTAATAGCAATGATGCCAAAGCCAGTGCTACCGTAGCGGTCAGGACTTCATTTTGACGTTCACCTCGCTGTTTGCTTCCAAGACATGAACAATTGACCAGCGTGCACTAGCTCATCGAGTTGTGCCCGCCTACGTTACGCAAGGACGCTGCTATCACAGAACATTCTAGACCCGCACTACTGCAACCGTGCAGCAGCCTGGCTGCCATACCTGCTTGTGGTTGGTTCGGTATGCGGTGCAACATCTTTGGCTGCAACACGCCTTGCCTTCCCTTCGAAGAAACTCCCTTGGCAGTGTGGAAGCGCATGCCCACCATGAATGCTACCGCAGATAAACCTTCATCCAGTGTGGCCTGTTGATGCCTACGGCTTGGACAAAAACAAAGCAAAACATGGTCAAACTATGTTAGCTTCTGGGCAGGCATGTCCGCAGCTCCTCCACTTCTCCGAGTCGACCAATGCATCCCACAGCGTCGCGTCGCATGCCTGCCGCCATTCAGTTCTCATGCAGCTTGTTGGCATGAGGGGAAACTTTGGCTGATGAAGCTCATGTTGGGATTCTTTGAATATATCATTGGCCAGAGCCTTGGCCGGTTCTGGTGTCAAGCTTGCGGTTGAGTGCTTTAACTGGGTTTGGTGGACGATGCTGGTGTGCACTGGAGCAACATGGATCTTGGATCGTACTAGTAGCTGCTTTTGAGCTTACCCGACACGCAAGGAGGTCTTGGGAGATGGCCCAAACTTGCTCAAACAAATCATCACCCTGGATGGCAGTTGGAAACACTGACTAACATCGATAAGTCAGGGGCGTCATCCAACAAAGTATATCTGTGCCTTCCAGAGTTCAAACATGCAAGGAAGCGCATGTTGTTCCTTTAGCATTGGCAAGGGGGCTAAACAAACAAAAGGGCAGGATGCAAACATCCGCGTCTCCTTGGAGACCTTGAGTCCTACTCTTGAAGGTCAAAAAGGCTTGAATGCATCCTTGACAAAAGCATCTGGGACACCAGTGGAATAGCCCATGTTCACACAAACATGGGAACTCTTCTTCAGTATCTGCAGGATGATTCTATGTGCTTGTGACCAAGTACGCCAAACCGCTATGCTTTCTCTATGGGTGCCCTGATGGCGGCTGGGATCACAAGGCTATCAGAACCGCGCTGCTGATCGGTTTGGCCATGGGCCTGCCGCAAGCCACATTTCGAGAAATCAGCAAGATGAAGGCATTGACGCATGCAAAGACACAAAGAGATACAAGCACACAAACACACAAACACACAAACACACAAACCCACGCAAAAACACAGCCACACAGCCACACCGACCTACAGAGACACGGAGACACAGACGCACCAACGCCCAGACACGGACACAGATACACAAGACACACAAAAACACACGCGCACACACACACACACAGAGACACACCCACCTACCAACCCACCCACCCACCCACTCACCCACCCACCCACCCACCCACCCACCCACCCACCCACCCGCCCGCCCACCCACCCACCCACCCACCCACCCACCCACCCACACAAACACACACACACACACACACACACACACACACACACTCACACTTACACTCACACTCACACTCAGACTCGCACGCACCCACACGCGCGCACGCACAACACGCAAACGCGCAAACACAAACACACAGACCCGCAAACATGAAAACAAGACAATTCCCCTCGATGGCTGCGCCCTTGCCTCTCCCACTGCGTGCTTTACTTTGACGTTCAAATCCACAAAGTGGTCCCGAACTCCGAGCTACCACCCTGCCGCCGCTTCTCAAATCCCGCGCCTCCATGATTAGGCAGACCCCATCCTTTGTGTTGCACGCAAAAGCGAAATGCAGCACGTGGGCGCACTGGCGCGGCGGGGCAAAGCTCGGTAAGTTGTGGTTGGGAAACGTGTTTCTCATGTGCGGCACGTTTGTTTGTGTTGTAGGGTTGTGCGTTCATTCCACAATTGTTGGATGATGAACAGAGTGACGCCTTCTTGTCCCTTGTGAAGCCCCAGGGGTGGAGCATCTACAAACAAACTCCCCGCACCGTTCAGCTTCCAAAAAGCCGCCCTGACTGCCGAGTAGGAAGTTCAAGGCGGCAGGAGAAGTGGGCGCATTGCGTCCGAGCCATGGAGAGCCACTGCTTCCAACCGCTTCCACGAGCTGGGAGGGTTTCAAGTTAACGTCGAGAATGTCAAAACAAAACCAGGCATTGCAAGGCCTGGATTGGTTGATCTGCTTAGCAATGCCGTCAAGAAATGCGAATCCAAAAATGGAACCGGAATTTCTCACAACCCCAAAATGTGGCATGGAACCCCTCATTCGGGCGGCGACTGGCTCCAATGGTTGGTAGGATATCGGGGTGGTGGCTCTTGATGGGAGAATCGGGTAGCTTCCACCACCGAAGGTTGACATGTATCCCCGAAACCCCAGGTGCAAGAAATGCCACGAAAGGTGAGGTACTCTGTCGCTGATGGAGAGCCAGTCCCGGCCACTGCCAGGGCATCCAACAGAAGTCTGCTGACATAAGTTTCCCCCTGACCCGAACCGAGAAACCGTGAATACGCTCGGCTTCCATCCCCTTGGTGCGAGAGCCTGAGGTAGTGGAACACAGCTTTCTTCTTAACTACAAATGGGAGGTCGGAAAAAGCCACTAACAGCGGCAACCACTGTCCGCACAGGGCTGAACCCGGGGTTGCCGACTCACACATTCACCGTATCTCATGCGATAAAAAAGGATGAACAACCTAGCATCACACTCGCCAAGAACACGACGTCCCTTCCCCCGATCGCCTCAGCTGAGCAAAGCTTCAGGAGCCGCACTTCCTCTGCAAGGGCCTGGCAGGCAGCCGAATCAGCGGGTTGCGAGGAGAAGAGGGTTGCGGGGTGGAATCCTGACAGTAGACGCCAGTTGCTGGGCAACGCCTAGTTTCCAGTAGTCTCTCACCTAATTTTATTGGCGGTGGACATGATCAGAATGTCAGAATATTTGGACAGCTTTGTTTCAGGCAACTGTCTCTACAGCAATTGAGGATATTATGGCCGTTGTGAGCCGATTGTTGGCTATTTTCGCATGTGCTTGGAAGCTGAAAAATGGCCAGGCGGGTTCCGGAGCACGTGCCGCCCAATCGGATATTGGAACCTCTACATCAACAGGTGAGCGGGTTTTGTGGCTGAAATTTGCGCGCAAAATGGCGCAGTGAACATTTGCAAGAAAACGGTGGTGAATGGAAGAGTGGCAAGAATCGTGCGCAAAAAAATAATGCCCAGGATGCGGCATGATGGAGCGGTGCATGCGTCCACCCAGGCATTCTTACAGCACCCAGGCATTCCACCCAAGCAGCTAGATTCTGGCTTGTGAGGCAGGATCGCAGTCGGATCGCGTTATACCCGCGAGCGTCAACCAAAGAACTGGCTTAACCTGCTGATTGGGATCGCAGAAGAAGGTCTCCGTAGGGCGGACGTCTTTCTGGCCCCTAGGTCACATGGATTTGCCTTTTGCCCTCTTTCTGGAGCCTGCATCAGTCCACAGTCCAAAGGAGCCGCTTGTTGGAGGCGTTGGCTAACATTTGAGGACCTGAAATTTCCACCCAAGCATTCCAACGCTTGAGGAAAAACAAGAAAGGCCCAAAAAAGGGAACAAAGACAAACCCAGAACCCATGGGTCACCAGCTGAGGGCAAATTCAGTAGCCATGTTCTCGAATCATAAAGACACGTTGGCAAAGGACACCACACATGGCTCCAACTCCAAGCGCAAAAAACAACATAAAAACAACAACAACATGTGGGTATGGGTCAAAATGAAGCCACCAGGGGACCGCAGATTGTAGTCCATGTTTCCATTTACAAGGGTTCCATTTCGGTACCTATTTTTGACCCAGAGCCATGTAGACCCAATCACCCCGTCTTCTGCGAGGCCGGGGCCTCTTTGCCGCCCTTCTCCTTGAAGCGCTTCACTGCAAACCTCCCGAAGGATTCCTCTGCCAGCAGCTGGACCACGCCGCTGGTGCCTGGGAACACGCGAAGCACGTCGAACGAAACGAACCGCGGCGGTCCAAACTTGTCAGCAAAGTCCGGATTTTTGCTTGCCAAACACGATCTTCCCAACCAGAAAGTCCAGAAACTGGGAAGGGTAGATGGGGGACAAAGCAAAGCACCCATCCAGGAAAGGCTTTTAGAACCTTGCTGGATTCTGAGAACCTTGCTGGGAGGCCCTAATCTGCTGGGGAGTGGTAGGTGTCTGCAGGTTGCTTCCTGTTTGATGTGAGCTTGTCTGTACCTGGGGCACCCCCCAAACAATTGATGGTTTTCATTGGATTCCATTGAGCACCACCCCAAAAATGGCGACCTCGAACAACATTCTCTGGGTCGCCCATGTTCTTGCCGCATGAAGCCACAAGCCCAGCAAAAACTGATCTGCCCCGAAAACAAATGATGCCAGCTTCTGCTGGCATGCTGGATTCCAGGAATGCCAGTATTCCCGTTTGTCGTGCCCCCAATTTGCAGAAGGACCCTGTCAACCTGGCAGAAGTGCGGGTGGCACAGCTAACAACCGGGGCCGGGAAGGCCCTCTTTCTACACTGACTCCACGCCGCATCTTGCTGCTGCCATTTAGCTTTGATGCTGTCGCTGTCGTTGCGGTTGTGGGGGCGCTGGTCTGCTCCCACTGCTGTCTTCGTCGTTCTTAAACCTCTTTTTCCTGTCTCAGTCCAGTATAAAAGCCACTGCACCCAGAGCAAAAAGCTGGGTCTCGATATCCCTGCATGTTCTGTTGCAGCTTCAGCTGCCCCAGCCCTGCCTTCGCCGAGCGTGGGCCCTAAGGCCAGTTCCAGGGTCAGGGTCATTGCCTGCACAACGGATTAGCAGGACACGACCAGGGTCACAAAGCCAGTAGTTTGCCGTACGCAGGGGACACCCCATAAACAATACATGATTCCTTACAGTAGCCGAATGCTAACTACAAGGAACGAATCAAATCCAATTCGCCTTTTCAGAAGTGAACCCGTCGTACCGCCAAAGGCGGCTCCACCAAACGCTTCCGTGTTCTAATGATGGCGGGTCAGGGTTTGGAGACGCCGGGATCTCCATGTCCGCAGGAGCATTTGCCCGCAAGCCAGTCACATCACTGCGATTCATGTTTCTACAATCCTTGCAGCAAGCGGAAAATGTAAGTTACGACTGCTGATGCAAGTGTATCACCGGTGCTGCTTTGCCCGTTCGGGACCATTCCAAAGCCTTTCAGCCCAAAACGAGCTCAATACAAATACATATAAATATGAAATCAAAAGGCGTTCAAAGGCGTTCCAAAAGCGTTCTAAAGAGCTCGGAACGGAACCGAACAGAACCGTTGCATCACAATATCTTAAAATTCCGAAGAGTCCCGATTTGGGATCAGTTTTGGTGTCCGGTGTTTTTGACATGTGCACAACAATGTATTTGTGCAATTGTCGCATCAGGCAATCTTCGTTCCCAGCATATTGCTTCATGTCATGCCTGTCGCATGTTCCCAACATCACGCACCGGGGGGGGGGGTTCTTGAAACTAAGCCAAGCAGAAAAGGACTTCTTGAATTGAACGCCAAATCCACCACTCTCATTTCTGACAGCTGAAATCACGCCTGCCGAGAAACGTGAGAAAATCGATAGTCCCCGCCTTTTGGCAAGGCCCTCGGTCTGGACATGCTTCCATGAATGGCTGCGAAACGGGCTCGTTAGGGCCGAAATGCGGCGGCAACGCGTCGGTGCGGTTCCGGTGTCTCATGCCAACCTCTGCATGTAACGTCATGACTGCATGTCCAGGGTGAAGAAGCAGACCCAAACATGCAGGACCGAAGCCACTGGAGGGGTCCAGTGGAGCTTCACTGGCATGAAGGCTGGCCCCGTAGATGGAGCGATGTGCAGTGCTAGGGGCTCAATATAAACCACCAAAACAACCCAGTTGTCTTGCTATCCCCGGGGTATGACCATGACCGCGTGTGTAACGAGGCACCGCAAAAGATCCCCTTGGTGAAGAGACAAAGGAAAATGAACAACACGTCTGACAATTCTGGAATAGCAAGCCAATCCTAGCCCAATAGCACGACAAAGCCTCTTGCTCTTGGATGGCACGCTGCCCAGGTACAAGGCATGCTTGCAGGCAAGTCTCAGCTGGCAGTTCAGATATGTTTAGATAATGTGCAGTTGAAGAGGTCTACTAACCCTAAGGGACTGCCAAAGTCCATCAGCTAGCTATCGCTCAAAACCTGCCCGATTAGCAATGCAGAATGCATCTACCTCAGAACACCTACAGCATCTTGTCCACCCGACCTGATTGAAGCCAAGGTTTCCGCTCAATACGCCAACCCTTGCATCGCTCATACCTGCTTTTGACACTTTTCTGCAGGCTCCAGGGGCACGTCAAGTGCGCTTTTCAAGCGCGGCCGACGTGACGAGGCCCTCCTGTTTTGGGGAGCCTCCTTTTGTGGGTGAGACTTCCACCTGGGCACTTTACCACGCCCAGCGCGGCGGAAGAACCTGCTTGGTTGACCCATTCATGGTATGCACTCCCCTTGCATCAGTTCGGAAGGCGTGTGAAAGTGTGAGTGTGTAAAGCATATCACTGCCAGTTGTCTAAAGCCTGACGGCACGGCAAAAGTCACGATGTCAGCGCGATACCGTGAACAAGAGCTACAAACAATGCTAACACTAGCACGGCAGGGTTGCAGCATCACCCTGGACATGCATGTGACGCCGACTCCCATGAGTGCTAGCAAGCAAACAACTGTGAGTTTGGTCCTTTATGCGACCAAGCAACTCGTGTTCACTAGGTAATTACTGCAAGGAAGATGCTGGGCCTGCGATTGCAAACGATGAAGTGAATGGCTCCATGCCACCTTAGCATTAACGAGATTGAGATTGCAGAAGCCATTTTAAGCAGCGAACCCATTGGACAGAAAAAGAGGAAAGCATGTTAATGAGGAATTGGGTCATGTTGCCTCCATCCTCCCAGAGGGCTTCAGGTCACCACAGCTCCGCGCCAGGTGGCTAGTCATGCGGTGCAGATTCCAAAGCGCGCCTGGAAAGCGGGATGGGCTCATTTACATCCAATCCAATGTGCAGCAAAAGGGTGTGAACATATGATTGCCGGTTTGTCCAACTCGTAAACGTCGAACATTCACCACCGGACCGAATTGACCACCTGACATGCATCGTCAAACAAACTTCTGGGATGAGTTCGTTGCAGGACTCAGCTGGAGGTTTCTGGCGGCGCAATCATAACGCGAATCACAGGGCAACAGGCATCCAACGAAATCAGTCTATCGGGTATTGGCGTGCCGGTTTCCATGATTTTGTTACCGGCATTGGACTTCTCTCGTCACAGAGGCAACCGCAGCACCGAATACCATCCCGCATTCCATGTCGGCTATCGGACTACCTAACGCCACTACCACTAACAGTTGAGGACCTCAACCGGAAACTCGGGCGTTTGGCAGGAGGAGCATGGGAACCTGCGCAAGGTGAAGCTCTTGCTGATCATAATGCTTGCGTTGAAAGGATCCTATGTCATGCTTTTTGCTAGTTCTGGAGGCCCCAGCTTAGTGTACTTGCGAGTATGCAAGTGCATTTGCAGGGGCTGCACCTACAAAAATGGTGTAGAACACCGCGTTCAGATGGTTTCTGCCTCTCACAACCCCCCCAAAAAAGGGGTCCCACCCCGAGGAACCTCTCGGGACGGCCCCGATGCCCCGATCCTAATCCGCGGAGCTGCCCGACCTCGGCCGGAGGGCCGGTAACTACCGGCTCAAAGAACTAACTTTTGATGGGTTGTCCAAAATGGGTACCCCCTTTGGGCCATGGTTTATGGGCCCGCCTTTCAATTTTGGTCCATCTTCTTGACAACCCACTGTTCGTTTGGGGGACAAGCGGACTTTGTCAGCTCAGTTCCGTCATGCAAGGAGGCAAGGATGTTCTGCAGGCATATTGGAGGTAACCACTCCACTATTCGTCACTGTGGGACGTGCAGACCATGCGTTGTGTGGCATTCTTGCACCGGTGCGAGCTAGTCACTCACGAGGCCATGTTGAAAAGCCGAGGCAAAACCAGTTCGACCTCTTGACAGTTCCGTGAGACCCGTTCATTTGGAGCTGCGGGCAGGCAGCCTACGAGGGCCCGTGACAAAACAGCGGATGGGCATCACCCTACCAGTGGCTGTTGAACAACGGATTCCTTTGAACTTCTAGTTGACCTGATCTGGCTGGGGGGCCTGGTGGTCAGAAAAGATCCTAGCAGAACATGTGCCACCCCTTGGCAGGCCATTGCGGCGGGCAAGAAGGGATCAAGAGCCGCTTCCTATTAGCAAGATGCAGAAGGAACAAACGAACGCAATGCCCCTGGAACAAGGCCTTCATAGAATCCAAAAACAACCCGTCAAAACGGCGTCCCTCCAAGTAATTATGCATGATTCTGGAGATGTTAGGGACGTCGAAGTGAATACGCACTTCAATACAATGGCCCAAACATGTTGCAACTCATGGCAACATGTGCTAAGCCTCATGAGCGTGTCATCACAGGCACTTGTCACTTGGCGTCAACGGCACGTTGCTCATAACAACTGACAGCTGCCAACCCGGGTTTGCCAAGGCGTGTTTAGTGGCTTTGGCAAAACCGAGGGCCTTGTCATCCTTTCTTTGCCCTTCCATGTTCGGAGCAGGCTTCCAAACCATGGTTAGGCTTGCTTTCGGGCCGGCATGGGCATGGCAAGCCGTCAAAAAAGCAACGCGCGTCCCTTGCGCAAGAAACCTTGCGAACAGAACAAGCTGGATGAGGAGTCACAATCAATCAAAATTGACTAATCGAGTTTTGTCGTGTGATGCCGTGTGAAGTCCTGATCGGGCTTCTCCGGCACAGGCAATGCTCAAGGCACCATCGACACCAAACAACTACCCTGAGCTCCTGGCGCGTCAGGCTGACCGAAGGGCACCATCATGCGGAAATCCTCCAGCCCGATCCTGGCAAAAAACACTCTCAACAAACACGGACTTTGGGCCAGTCAGCAAGGGAACATGCTGTCATGCAGCCTGGCACGTTAGACGGATAGGATAATACCTTTTGGCCTCTTCTGACTGGCTTGCGGAATGTGAAGTGTCACAAGCTTTGCCATCCCAGGGGGGTCATGAAAAGGATGCATGGATGGTGGGAAATTCTCCCACCCTTCCGGGCACCAGGCACTTGTCTGCTTTGCAGAACGCCGCAAGGACAGCCATTCCAGGAGTGAGGAACGCGAAATGCATTATGTATTGTCAACAGGCACTTGTGAAGCACCAATGAACCGAGTCTGATGATGAAGTAGCACGACAAGGAGGCGACCATGATGCATGCACGTACCTACGTACCATGCATGTAAGTCATGCAACGCAACGGCACGCAACGCAATGCGATGCGATGCGACTCAATGTAACGTATGCATGTAGGCATTTATGTGCGTGTGAGCGTATTGCGCAGGGTGAGGCTGCTTCCAAACTCTGTCTGGCAACACATGAATGCTAAGGGCGGGAAAACAAAGAAATAAAAAGCAACAGCTGCAGTGACTCAGGGTCATCGGTGGGTGGGCAGCTTCTTCAAGCACAAAGGAAAGGCCAGGCTTTGACCTTGAACCTAGAAAGCCATGTGGCTGCCTCGACGCGAAGCTACAAAACTAAATCTCTCCATTCAACTCCCATTGGCAGGACGCCAACATCAAAGGGGGCCTCAAGGGTCATGGTTGCATGCATCTCAGGCCTTGAAGGTCAACCCAAGATCACTCCGAACTGGGCTGTTTAGAAAAGAGTCTAGCCTATCCCAAAGCCAGAATCATTCTCGGAAAGCCACTACAAAAAGGGAATTCCTCTGTGCCTCCGCACGGCCCTGCCTCTGGTCCTTGTCTCCGTCGGCAGTCTCCAGGATGATTTTGGCATCCTTCCGAAAAGTGCCGAGCGCCAGAATTTCCCGCGGGACCAGGTGTTGACGTGTTGTGCAACGCTTCATGCAAGTTGTCCTTCAACATGGTGGTATCAGCTGGAGTTCCGTCTGGCTAGTCCAAAACTCTACGTGCGTGTAAACATGTAAACATACCCACTCTCGCCGACACCTGCCGCACCAATGATGATGCCAAGCAGCTCTCATAGGCTCGCATTTCATTGTCGCTCTTTGCCTTTGCCATGTGCCTTCGTTTTGTACGTGTGCATCAAGCTGGTATTGAGGCTTCGAAGGGCGAGTGTACAATCCAGACAAAAGGCATGAATAGCAACTCAAAAGGAACAGCTTGGGCATGCTTGAGGAAAGTTGCCTATGTGTGTTTGCAGTAGTCTACCCTCCAGGGCCCATCAAGCAGCACAAAGAGTGCTCTCCCAGCTTCCAAATGCTCATGTCCCAAAGCCGCATGTAGCAAAAAGAACGCTGGACGTTACACTCCCGTCCTCGTCGGAAATCTCCCCGTATCCCAGCTCCTGCCAAGCAGGCATGAGTAAGAATGTCAAACAAGCAGCCTTGAACCTATGATTTGTGCGCAGTGTGATTGCGAAGCATGCGCTATGCTTCCTCCCACAATCTCAGCGCCTGCGAGGGTAGCTGGAAGATCAATTTGTTCTTGAAGGCACCAGGCTCCATCAGGTGAGGCTGCTCTTCACTACGCCACCAAAGGTGACAGGGACACAAGTCCTGGGGCCTCAATCCTGCAGCCTTCCTGCACACAAGTTCAAAACATACCCCCAAGCGCCTGTGGGCAGTTGCAAAGAAACAAGGGAGCTGAAGGTCGTGACAAAATACAAGAGCAGCGTCCCAATCCCCAACACGTTGAAATAACCCGCCCGCAAAAGCCTCTCTCGGAATACTCGTTTTACAGGTCTAAGCCCTGCCTTGCCCAAACAAACAAACACCATCAACCGGGGTATAGCAATTGAATTGGGGGGAGGGCCTTTGGGGGACACCACTTACATGGAGAGTTGTGCATCACATAGGGCGCTCTCCGCTACGGGGGCGAGATCGGCCTGGCTAGGGGCTCGATTGCTGGCCTTGAAAAAACTTTTCACGATGTCCATGTCCACAAAGCCCGTGTTGTTGGGATCGTAGACCTGCCGGATTGACATTCCGCATGTCAGAGCAATCGGCGCATTCAGCTTGCCCAAAGGGTGGGCTGCCCTAGCTGGAGGCATACAAATGCATTGGATGGCAGCTAAAATAGAGGCTGATTGCTTGATCCTGGCCCCGCTCTTACTCATGCAAGCAGAATGCACAGCAGTCCCATGCTTCTTCCGAGGGCTTGCTCCAAACAAGGCGTTTGAGAACATGTCCAGACACAAAACACAAGGCGAACATGATGAACATTGTTCCTTGTCTGTGTGATTCGGCAACCCCTTGGACGTGGCTTTAGCCCCTTAACATGCGCAATGCGCAGAAGGAGGGCACGAGTGGCTTGTTCAAACCAACTGGCCTAATGAGAAGGATTGATCTCCAAAGGCACGGAAAAGGAACGTCCAAAGGAACAGGCTTCAAACTTTTTGCGACTGTTGCAATGACCCGGGGCAAAGATTCTACCATATTCTACCTGTACGCTTGCCGGGCTCTGACGTCTCTCTTGATGCTTGTCAGGTTTTCTCAATCTGCAGTTCGAATATTGCACATTGCCCCGCTGACAAACACATCAAATGGCCCCAGTTGTTGGAAAAACCGATGACGCCTTACCTTTGCTCATAACCGTTCCCAGCCCGGATTGTGCTGGTTCAACGTAATAGGGACTGGCCATTGAATTGCATGCACACAGCGTGGCCAATAGATCGTTGCCCTCTTGTTTTGCCCATGCGGCCCCTGGGAAGCCCTTTCGACCCCAAGAATACTCTGTACTGGGCATCAAAGGACCATGACGTTATTACACGTTTCCCGTGCTTTGTGGCAACCACTCAACACAGTGGAGAGCAACGTCAGTCTGGTGGGACATAACTGGCAACAACAAAGCGTGCAACTGCAACACATGTGCGATCATGAGGCTGCTATTCAAAAGGTTTTGACAATTGGGCAACCCTAGTTGACCGGATGCAGGGATCCTTCTCTTGGCCGCCATGGCTGCAAACTCCTGTTTTTTGAGGCGGGATGCACCGTTTGGTGCTCAGGTCCTGCAAAATTGGCGTGTCTCCTCGCAGCTAGCTACTTCGGCCCTCGCGGTCCTTGGAATCGCGCAAGGCGGCTTAGATCCAAGGCCCTCACTCCAGCGCTGCCCCGCACCCCTTGTGTGAAAGAGAGTCCCCCTTGTGGCTTCGGGTGGTGAAATGCGTTGCAAAATGGATTTGGCGCCGTGGCGTGCATTGGAGTGCAACTGAAACTCACCGCGAGGTCCTCTTCGGAACCACCTCGTTGACCAGCTTAGCTGGACAATGAGACATGCAGCTGCGCTGCCGTGATTTATCCAAGCCTAAGCTCGCACGTGTCGAAGGGCCTGAGTCAGCAAAACAAAGCCGTGGCCCATCAGAAGGCTATCACTTGCTTGACTGACTGCCTCAGGCTGAGCCCACCCTCGTACATCCGCCTCATGACAACTCAGCCCAGCCAACGTGCACTTTTCACGCAAAACGTCAGGGCGCCATGACCCAGCTCCAAGCACCCACAAGCCACCTGAGGCGACAAGCCTACCACTTGCAAGATCTGGCAACAAGACATATGGGTGCCGCCCAGGGCGTGGTTCAAAGGGCAAAACTAGGGGGCAACTACCAATTCCGGGGTGCCGCTATGTGGGTTCAATATATTGCAGCATCCACGCGGGCTGCACAGGCTGGTCAAATCACATCAAAACAAACTCAGAGACCCAACAAAATCCGTGCTGAATACATCTAAGCATCTACATCCAGAGTTGCCGGCAGTTGAAACTGCTGGGCTCGGCAAGTCCTAAACATTCGGTGCTCATGACTTCCCTTTCACAAGCGCCGGCCCGGGGACTTCCCTTGGAGTGGCTTGGTTGCGGGATGACCAGGCCCCTGGGAATGGAGGCGACAGAGATGACGGCGCCCAACCTGCGGGCAGCCCACTCTGCAGATATCGCAGCTGGCCGGGCAGAAGCTCCCTGGAGTGCTTCTAAGCTTCGAAACCAAGGTTACAGGGATCACTGGCTCATGTACATATGATACACACATATATATATATAGCTACATATGCATCTATATGTATATATATATATATATCATCGATGCTTGGCGTACGGACGGTCTAATTGTTGAGGAACACTTCCATGCCGGCAGCTTGCCACCTGCAAAGAGACTGGTCTTGCTCGCAGCTTGCAAACGGAAAATCGGCGCCGGTCCGGGCCAGCGCTTTCCGCGCAAGCCGGACATTCTGCGAAAATAATATTCTGCACATCTAGCACCAAGGCCGTGCCGATGCTACCATCTGGGTCCCGTCAAGTCAGGCTTCATCTAATCACACCTCCTCTTTTGCCGCAAGAGCAACAGGTCCAAATAACATATGTCAGTTGATCAATATTCTGTTTCCGGAAAACGCCATCTTCGCGAGAAAAAAAGTTTCTTTCGCGCATCTTTCGCGACTCCATCGCCACGCCCTGTTGTTTGCAGCGTGCGCTCTGGAGCCATTGTGGCTGCTGCAGTTGTGCTTGCAAACACAGTGCAGTAATAGCCGCAGCTCACTTGAGCTGGCAGGCTTGCAGTAGCGTTAAAAGAAAGCAGTCACCGTCATTCGCCCTTGTCACTTGCGCTTGCCGGGGAAGTGCGGAACCTTGCAACAAGCTCCATGGACTTTCGCCGGTCTTTCGCGGATCTTTCGCGAAACTTGCTCCAAAATAGCACAGCCAACGTTATTGGTTTGCACCATTGCCAACACAGGAATGAGAATCAATGATGCAAGTATAAGTGCTGCGCATCTCCCTGTCTACAAGGGAGCAGGGTCTGCAAATATGCAAGTGCACAGGATGCCTCCAAGAACCCAACGCGGAATCTTTCGCGAAAAAAAAAGTTTCTTTCGCGAACTCCATCGCCGATCTTTCGCGGAGGGATTTAAACAAAGACGAATGGTCACCGAATACATAACTCCTTGCAAGGACCTTTTGATCAACCCCCATATGTCATGTCTGGAAGTGACAACTGCATCTACTGAGTCTACTGTGCTTCCAAACTTCCAGCACCATGCTAGCCAGCACCTGACTGCCGAGTTCTGCACAACAGACCTCTGTACGGACCCACCCCCTGCGCCTCTCGGCAAAGGGAGTTTGCATAAACCCTTCGGATGGACTGGACAACCTCCCCCTTTCATGGGTCCCAACATGTCCTTTGGTGGCTAAACACATCACCTTTGGGGCCCAAGAATGAGTTTCCCTTGGTAGGTGATGGAAGCATGGGGAACTCTGACTGCCCATGAATGCCCATGATCTTCGCCTTTCACTCCGACTCCCGTGCACCTCGCTGATGCGTCTGGTTCATGCACGCTAGCATTGGGCGCCCTGCCGGCCAACCATTCATATCCGTGGCCTGAAAAAGACTTGGAACACCGGTCTCGCCTGTTTGGGGACTCTGGGAGGGTCTCTTTGCCGAGAGTGACCATGCTTTGGATTGTGTCAATTGGAAAACGCACCTTGTTCGGACCAGCACACGCACTTGGCTAACAAGTGGAAACACACTTATAAATGTGGAAGCCAGTGCGCCCCTGACATTGAACACACCTACGGTCGGCCAAGTGGATGCGGCCAATGCTACCTAGATCTAGCCCTTCCCTTTGCGAAGCTGTCCGCCTCAGGCTTCACACTTCCATCTCTCCAACACCGGCAGGTCACCTGGGGCCGGTCGAAAGGCCCCTGCGGCCAGGAGTCCACAAAACAGTATTCTTAAGTCAAAATCAATCAAACTTGCATCACGGTTCAGGTTTTCCTAGCCCGACCTGGCCAATATTGCGTTGGAGTTGAAAATCATCATCGTACTGGAGGAACGGACATCACCCAAGCTGACAACAAGCATCAGCTGCTGATGTCCTAATTGCACAAGTCATGGTAGGTGCGATTGGTGAAGTGACAGCGCGGAAGAAACATCGATCAGTTGGTGCTCATGTGTTTAAAGGCGTGCCACGTTGAACAAGGTATTTCCGCACCCAACCAGAAAGCAACATGGCCAATTGCCAGCCAGAAAAGGATAGCATTTATTTACTGGAACCCTGTGCTCGGCCAACAGCACCTACATGAACAGCGCTGAGTTGCAGCACTTCTCTGTTTAAACATTCAATCTGGAACCGTTCCGAATTCTCTGTTTCGTGCCACTCTATGCCACTGAAGATCTTGGGCTACACACACACGCACACGCCAACGCTCCTGCACCACACCCCGAAGAAGAAATTCCCAACTTACAGGATCCTGACTGGTCCTGGCCCGCGTAATTCAGCAGCAGTGTGACCTCTCTGGCCAAGCCGCTCTCTGTGGCAGCTGTAGAGGTCGGCGTGTGGATTTGGCTCTCCTCTGGTGAACCCTTCTCTGAACTGTTGCTCAAAAGCGCGTTTGGCCAAATGAACCTTTCCAAGAAAGAGAGGGATGTGTGACATGGCTACTTTCTTGGCACGCACGCAAGCATTAAAAAAAAAAAAAAAAAAAAAAACGCACACACTCACGCACGCTTGGCTGGCTGGCAGGCAAAGAAACACATGTTCCCAAAGTCGCACTGAGATCAGCCAGCCAGCCAAGCCGTCAGAAACTTTATCCCTGTCCCGTCCTCGCGTTCTCGCTCCTGCCAGGTCTCATCTGGCGGAACGGGCGCAGGCTCCACCGGCGCCACTGGGAGAGCTGCAGCAGTGCGGTTCAGCACGGCCAGGCGAAAGTCCGCCGGCAGCTCCTGGTGCAGGCTCCGGCCATGCTGCAAAAGTGCGGCTACCGCCCCCTGCGCCAACAAAAAAATGCAAGTCGCCGATGTGGTAAACACATACGCACATTCGCCAAAAAGCAGCTGTGGTTCAAAAGTAGTCCGGTTTCCTCCAATAGAAGCGCCATTTTTGTGCACGCAATTGAGTGGTCATTACCCTTAGTGTGACATTGTGTGACATGAAGCGCGTTGACCAACCTCATGCCTTTAGCATAGGGTGCCAGTTCAAAGTGCAA